ACATAGTTACCAAGTTTCAAGTCAATCGGATGCATGGTTCAGTAGTTATAAAGGAGCATCCATAAAAACCACTGTAGGTTTATATATTAGTACTAGCTGACCCGGCAGACTTCGTAGTGCCTCAATCGATAATTAAAGACCTAAGCTTTTGTATAAAATAAACTTAAAACAAACAAAAGGAATCCGTCCGACGGGGGGGGGACACATCAAAGAAAAAATAAAATTATTATTTTTATTTAATTCCGAGCATTTTCATCTTTATCTATCTTTTAAACCTTCTCTGGACTTCCACAAATAATTCAAGGTTAAAATTAGACAAATCGGTCTAGCCGTTCTCGAGTTTTAGCGAGACTAACGAACAGAAATTCATTTTTATATATCTATATATATAAAAGAAAATCGTGTTAGTTACACCATTTATAACTCAAGAACGGCTGAACTGATTTGGCTGAAAATTGGTGAGGAGGTAGCTTAGAGCCAGGAGAAGTACATTTTTTATTTTTTATTTTTATTGCTTAGGTGAGTTGACGAGCTCACAGCCCACCTGGTGTTAAGTGGTTACTGGAGCCCATAGACATCTACAACGTAAATGCGCCACCCATCTTGAGATATAAGTTCTAAGGGTCTCAATTATAGTTACAACGGCTGCCCCACCCTTCAAACCGAAACGCATTACTGCTTCACGGCAGAAATAGGCAGGGTGGTGGTACCTACCCGTGCGGACTCACAAGANTTTATTGTCAAACTTTTGTTCTTGACGTCTGTTGTCAAATTGAGAATAGATTAAATATTGTTTGTCTTTGTTAATATTTTTTATAGTGTAGTCTTGGCGAAATTTGTGATTATAGAAGTATAAAATACAATCATAATAGTGTACAAACTTACAATTCCAATTAATTATAGTCGAATTTCGACTACTGCGGGACCTCTAGTTAATTTAAATTATATGTTTAACACTATTACTGTTCTTTTGTCAAAGATTTTACTTCTATAATCACCAATTTCGCCAAGGCCACACTATAATTATATAATACTAGCGGCCCGCTCCGGCTCCGCTCGGGTCTTTAAAAAAATTTTCAACGATATTTGACGTTGTTTTATTTTTTTAAATATAAGAACACTTAATGCAGCATAACTGTAATAGTTAGACATATGCTATGTATTTTTTGTATATGCTATGATGTATTTGTATTAATGTATTTTTATGCATAATTAAAAAAAAAATTGCATTCTGCACTGTCTGCTTCTCTATATTCTCAAAAGTGTGGGAAATTTCATACACCTCCGTCCGCGGAATTTTCGTAAAAAGGGATACAATATTTTTGCTTCACGTATTAATATAGATAACCAGCCGTACTCGTCCGGTTCGCTGGTGATTTAAAATTAACATTATTATTTTTCACCCCCACAAAGATTCTCATCATTAACGCCCCCGCAACTGGTGTAAAGAGTCCAACACTCATATAAATATTAGCCTATCCATTAAGTACATGTATTTGGATACCAAGTTTCAAGTCAATCGGATGCATGGTTCAGTAGTTATAAAGGAGCATCCATAAAAACCACTGTAGGTTTATATATTAGTACTAGCTGACCCGACAGACTTCGTAGTGCCTCAATCGATAAATAAAAGACCTAAGCTTTTGTATAAAATAAACTTAAAACAAACAAAAGGAATCCGTCCGACGGGGGGGGGGGGGTCACACATCAAAGAAAAAATAAAATTGTTATTTTTATGTAATTCCGAGCATTTTCATCTTTATCTATCTTTTAAACCTTCTCTGGACCCCCACAAATAATTCAAGGTTAAAATTAGCCAAATCGGTCCAGCCGTTCTCGAGTTTTAGCGAGACTAACGAACAGCAATTCATTTTTATATATACTAGAGGTCCCGCAGTAGTCGAAATTCGATTATAATAATTAATTGGAATTGTAAGTTTGTACACTATTATGATTGTATTCTATAATCACAAGTTTCGCCAAGGCTACACTATAATTTTTTTTTAATAAAGACAAACAATATTTAATCTATTCTCAATTTGACCACAGACTTCAAGAACAAAAGTTTGACAATAAATAGTATGCATGCGTATGTGCGTCAAATACACGGTATGTAGTGTGTGTAATGTTTTCTTTATTGATTTAATGTAACTTTTATGCATTATTTTTAAAAAATATTAGCATTATGCACTTCTTCTCTATATTCTCTATAAGTGAGGAAAATTTCATACTCCTCCGTCCGCGCAATTTTCGTAAAAAGGGATACAAAGTTTTTGCTTCACGTATTAATATATAGATAGATAGATAAATTGTAAATTGTCATTGCACGGAGGTGGGTGACGCAGCCGTGTACACTGATCGTCATAATGAGACGGACCTGAGTCATTTTCATTCTCACTATCCCATAACTAGAGTTAAATATGATTGTGCATTTTCTTTAAGTTTCTCTTCGCACGTACACACAGTCCGTCGTATGAAGTGACTTGCTATTCTGTCATGAAATCTTTATGGGAAAAGTTGATGGCTTCGTCATGTGCGTCATGGACGCTTTCTTAATCTACGAACCGGTCATTCTTTTTGGGGCGGTCAGAGAAATCATTTTTCGCAATCATCATTATCTTGTCATTGTTATGGACATAACAAAAAGCGATTCCCGGTTGAAACACGAGACTGCATACTGCCCCCTGCGTAGTTTGGATAATACCGATTCTTCCCACCACATTTCTCTACAAAATATCGCCGCTAATCTGAACCAAATGATAATTCTCTAATTTATCGCCATAAAAATCGTCCTGGCTTAAGGATAAGACGCTCAGTACACTCGTATCTAGCGATGCTACCGTACTGGTGTTCGAATCCCGCAGGCAGTTGCCAAATTTTCTAATGAAATACGTACTTTACGTACTGGTGGTAAGACCTCTTGTGAGTCCGCACGGATAGGTACCACCACCCTGCCTGTTTCAGCTGTGAAACAGTGATGCGTTTCGGTTTGAAGGGCCGGGCAGCCGTTGTACTGTAAAAATTGAGACCTTAGAACTTATATCTTAAATTGGGTGGCGGCATTAACCACTTAACACCAGGTGGCCCGTGAGCTCGTCCACCCATTTAAACAATAAAAAAAACGTATCTCTAGAAAATATATTCACTAACGACTTCCATGATAAAGGTGCAATATCGCAGAATAATAATCAAACCCGTTAAAATTGTAACATGCGTAATTACTAAACAATTGAAACGCGAGGTAGATGGCGCTTTTACGTCTACGATTCCACTTAAAACCAGGTCCGCTGCAAGCTCTTTCACCCGTGTACATCATCATCAGCCTGCGGCAGTCCACTGCTGGACATAGGCCTCCCCCAAAGCTCGCCACTGAACCCGATCTTCGGTTCTACGCATCCAGTTACTGCCAGCTGCCTTGCGCAGGTCGTCGCTCCATCTAGCAGGAGGGCGTCCTACACTACGCTTGCCAGTTCGCGGTCTCTACTCCAGAACACGTCTACCCCGACGGTTATCGGTTCTGCGACATATGTGACCAGCCCACTGCCACTTCAGCTTACCGTTACTACAGCTTCACCGGTGAACACAATGAACCAAAAACTAAAAATATATTTTTGTTGAAATTTCTTCGAGCTTTCCAATGATTTTACGAGCTTTCACTTGCACTCGTTAAATACTGGTTGACAAAAGTTTTCTCCCCTCGTCTCTACAAGTAAAGTAAAAGCTCTTGATTCGCGGGGCATATGTTCCGCAAAAATATGCCGCGAATACAGAAACTATGAATATGCAAAATCTCGTTGTTTTTTTTTATATTGCTTAGATGGATGGACGAGCTCACAGCCCACCTGATGTTAAGTGGTTACTGGAGACCATAGACATCTACAACGTAAATGCGCCCCCCACCTCGAGATATAAGTTCTAAGGTATCAGTATAGTTACAACGGCTGCCCCACTCTTCGAACCGAAACGCATTACTGCTTCACGGCGGAAATAGGCAGGGCGGTGGTACCTACCCGTGCGGACTCCCAAGAGGTCCTACCACCAGTGATTACGCAAATTATAATTTTGCGGGTCTGATTTTTATTACACGATGTTATTCATTCACCGTTGTTCATCAGGGACAATGTCGGCTTCTAATGTAAAAAGAATTTTTCAAATCGGTCCAGTAGTTTCGGAGCCTATTTGAAATAAAACAAACAAACAAATCTTTCCTCTTTATTATATTAGTATAGATATAGACATACACATATTTAATATACATCCATAACCCTGGAAAAGACATTTTATATTTATCATATAAATATCCTCCATTGGCGGGATTCGAACCCGCGACCCCCTTGAGTAGTGACCATGTCACTTACCACCACACCAGACGGCCGCTAAATTCGATTGGATTGGATCGACCTAGACATTAAAATCCTTTTTATCAATGTCTATGTACCGATGTACCGTTTAGATCAGGGAATAATGAAGTCTTTAGCCACGAACATAGAAAGTGGGTCATATATTTCGAACGAAGCGCGAATAAGGACTGTATACGGAATTTTCGGTTATTAAGGTCAAATAACCAGTAACTATACTTGAGACCTTAGAACTTATATCTCAAGGTGGGTGGTGTATTTACGTTGTAGATGTCTATGGGCTCCAGTAACCACTTAACACCATGTGGGCTGTGAGCTCGTCAACCCATCTAAGCAATAAAAAATATATATTTAAGACCAGCCCTACAATGGAGAGTATTTCAATATACATGTCGGATGTATGAGCGTTGCTAGCGCATACACTATTCAGACTGGCCTATAACTATTCATCAGTGTTTAGTGTGAGTTTTTTAACGTTCTCGATAGCGTAAAAGTTGACTCAAATTGAGTCACTATGACGTCAAATCACTATGAGGTTCTGTAACTACTTAAGAGTAGGCACCGTGGGCATTTTCACTCGTCTGAGCGAAAAATAATCATTATAAATAATAATCTTTAACGTTTATCCCTTTTCCATTTCAGATTCGAGGAAATTGTTTGGCGGATACCGGATAACGCCTATGTACTGCAAAGCAAGCCGCGTCGCCAAATACAATAGAGGGAAGACCATTTGCATGTTCAATCATGAATGCGGGCAACGAGGTGGAGAGGTCGTTGGCGCTTGTATGGACGGATTCCTATTCGGAGCTTGTTGCCAACTCAAATCCGACAGCCAATCTCACATACCCAAAGGCCCCGGTGTCGTCATGACCAGCTACTTAGATTACCCGGACGCGGATTCCACTGAAGACTATGACGTCGAGCAAATAAACGCGTGGCATAACAGTTTCAAGCCTGTAGTCACGCCGGGCTATAGACCAGCCGACAAGACGACGACAACTAAACCCGTGGAAGAAGAAACGCAAAGTGTTTCCGCCGAAATACTATCCGAAGGACTTACACAAATAACTAACACTCTACTTAGCACACCACCGAAAGACAGTAGCTTTGTATATGTAAAACCGAAGCCAGATTACACGTACAGCGGTATAGACCACAGCGTGCCTGAGACTATATTGGTGCACACGAACGGAAGCATTGTTGACGACGTAGCCAGACCTTCGGACTTCAATGTCCAAGTGTCGTCGATGCAAACAAAACCTACAGCGTCACCGACGACCAGCAGCACTGCCTCGCCGATGACCATATCAACCCACCGACCAGTTTTCTCTAAGCCGGTTTTCAGACCGAAACCGACAACTACAACAGAAAATTATATCATGATTTCCACTATTATGAAAGAATCAACGAAGCCCGAACTAACCTCAATTAATACAATCATTAACATGCTTAATGATTCAACTCCGAATTTCAATGATGATGCAACTAGAGCTCCCATTGAAGATGTCTTAGAAACCAAATCGTCTCCTACTCCAATCGGGACGGTATCATCAGCTTCGTTCAGTACAAACCATTACCCAACATCAGGTCATTACGTGACCTTAAAGCCGTCTTCATACTCAAGTACATACTCACAGACCAATGGTATTTCAACAAACAGACCACAGACAAACAAACTACCATCGTATACAACTGCTAATACCATTCAAGATGATGAAAAGACTTCTACAAAACCTTACGTTTCTTTGAACCCTTCTAGTCAGGCTATAGATGCCTTTAATAGATATCCAACAGATCCAAATGACTTTGGAGATAAAGTTACAACGTTTGCTTATTTTAGTACTACAACTACAACAAAACCCACAACCACATCCAGACGGCCACCGTCTACCAGCTACGTCATAGGAACTCAGCCGTCCAGAAGACCGACTCCAATGCCAGGTTACGCTTCAGCACCTGATTCATTTTCCAGCGTGACCCCAACGGTTATAGTTCTAAACGGCTTCCAAACCCCTGAACCTGAAAAGGAACCGGAATTCGTAGAGATATCTCAGGAACCATTTAAAAAACCAGTCAGTCAGATAACAGTTAATAATCATATCGAATCGACGAATAACATTTACATGGGAAAACCGCCTCAGACATTTGAAAAACCATCTTCCCCCACTATAGTAATTACACCTAAGCCGGTTCCAAACACAACTCCGTACCCGGTTAAGGCAGCGACTAAACCATTCTTTACGACAGCGGCCTTCGAAACCGAATCACCGACCACATACAAACCGGAATTGCAAACTTCTCCGGATGACTTGATAAACTTCCCACCCGTCCGTAACCCTATGCTCAACGCTACAGGCTCTAATACCGCTTTATATAACACAAGCATTTCCTTAGCCGACAACGAGCTAGATATATTACATGACATTGATTTCACAACGCCAACATGGAAGGAAGACGAGAAATTCAAGGACAAAATGAACATTTTCGTCAGTAAAATAGTGGGTAGCCTTCAAGGCACCTTCCAGGAATTACATGACATAGTAATTCTGGATAAAAAACCGAATTTGACAACGACCACACAAAAACCGAAGAAGACGTTAGCGACAACCAAGAAACCCTTGGTTACGACTAGGAAACCAGTGAGGTTGACCCCGACGACAAGACGACCGACAACCCGGACAACTAAAAAGCCGACTAAATTGACAACTGCTGCCCGGAGAACGACAACCACCGCTGCCCCCACGACAACCGTTGCATCAACAAAGAAACCGGTAAGTACATAATTGGGGGGTATGCCAGCAAAAATGCTAATACACAGCTTTAAGTTAAAAAAAACATTTCTTACATTTACTATAAAGTTATCGCCATTAGAAACAAATTAAATAAGTAATAGATAGATCAGGTAAAGCTAAGTTCCCAACCAACCAAACTTATTCCCAACCAACCTCATCCAACGATTTTAAGTAAATGAGGTTTGAGTCGCATTGGCTGTAGATAAAACCTTCATATTACCCGTGTTCTTAAACAACACAATCACAAACCATCAGGTGAGCATTTCAGCTTTCGATGACATAAAAAATTAGGGCGAATCCTATATAAGTATTTTGATCTGCTTCTCTCATGTCGCTTGGTCTTCTCCTTACAAAATTTTAAAAACTTTTGAGTACAGGCAATGTAATGCAATTAGCAAGCTACACCCCTAGTTTAGCTTCCATTGCGTTTTCGCATATTAAATATTTATTTAATGAATACGTACATATACATAAAAGTGCTTCCTTCCTTATTTCTCAGAGCTGTGACTCTGTTTAAAATCGGCTAAAACATTACATTCATAATCAACTTCAAAAATGATTTCATCAAGCCTTGTACAATTTTATATACAAGGTGCTTTGTAAGTTGGTATCAAAGATGAATCTGTAATAATCTGTTATACCTAAAATATAATACGTGTTATTTTTAATATTTTTAATGGTGGGTAGGACGTCTTATGAGTCCGCACAAGTACGTACCACCACCCTGGCTATTTCTGCTGTGAATCAATAATGCGTTTCGGTATGAAGGGTGGGGCAGCCATTGTAATGTACTGTAAAAATTGAGACCTTAAACCTCATGTCGCGACGTGGGTGGAAGAATTTACGTTGTAGATGTCTATAGGCTCCGGTAACCACTTAACACCAGGTGGGTTGGTGAATTCGTCCACCCATTTAAGCAAAAATAACTGTCCCCTTCACACTCATAAGCTAGACCGCGCGAGAAAGAGATGGGCAGACTTTTCATGATGCGCATGCAGTGTGACGTCACGCGACGCGCTTATTCACAAACACTACACAAGCGCAACGTGTGAATGTTTTGAACGCGAGCTACATAGTGTCAGTTTATTTTCGTTACGGAATTTCTTGATTCAGTCGCCGCGCTCAAAGACCGCGATAACATCTATGCAATAGCTTAAAAAGTGTTATTATTTTTCAATCCTTTCACACATAACTTGTACGCCGGCCTTTACTACACCATATTCCAGGTCACGACAACCAAAAAAACCAAACCCACCAAGAAAGCGACTACCACGGTCGCGCCGACGTCAACCGTCGACTACGATGACGTCACTGTTGAAAACCTCGCCGATCAAGTCGTGGATTATAATGACAAGAATCGTAAGTTCGAAGTTCCAAAACAAAGTAACTTTGGCACCGAAATCAAGCATTTTCTGATTTGATTATTATTAATCTCAAATAATAATATTATGCCATTTGTTATATTAACTATACTACTACTATAGTTGTTTCCAAAACTCCCTCAGGGAATTTTTCCTTCATGTTAATCGCTGCCATAAATCACAAGTTTCTCAACGCGGATGTCCTTATCCAGTTCAAGATGAGGTCGCAGCTCAAATTTTACTGTATATAAATCAAAGTTTGACGGTATATCGGTCTTTTTCACTTTGGCTCATCACCATCTTTCGCTTCCACCAGACGGACATGCATTACCGATATTTACATCAAAATAAATAATTCATTTCAGTCTGCGGTGTTAGACCATTATCGAAATCTGGTCGTATCGTCGGCGGGAAGAACGCGCACTTCGGAGACTGGCCTTGGCAGGTCCTGGTCAGAGAAGCTACCTGGCTCGGACTATTCGTGAAGAACAAATGCGGCGGTGTCTTGATTACCAGCAGATTCGTGACCACGGCTGCCCATTGTCAACCTGGGTATGATCCCTTTACTGAAAAAATCCGTCATATATGAGGCGTTTGGAGATCGTTTGGAGCCTCTGGGTCTGCGGAGGGACTTCGGTTCCCTCTGTATTTTATACCGTATGTTCCATGGGGAGTGCTCTGAGGAATTGTTCGAGATGATACCAGCATCTCGTTTTTACCATCGCACCGCCCGCCACCGGAGTAGAGTTCATCCATACTACCTGGAGCCACTGCGGTCATCCACAGTGCGTTTCCAGAGATCTTTTTTGCCACGTACCATCCGGCTATGGAATGAGCTCCCCTCCACGGTGTTTCCCGAGCGCTATGACATGTCCTTCTTCAACCGAGGCTTGTGGAGAGTATTAAGCGGTAGGCAGCGGCTTGGCTCTGCCCCCGGCATTGCTGAAGTCCATGGGCGACGGTAACCACTCACCATCAGGTGGGCCGTGTGCCCGTCTGCCTACAAAGGCAATAAAAATAAATAAATAAAAAAGGCATTTGTTGAATTTAATGCAAATAAGTCTTAAATAATAATAAAAAGGAAACTTTCATAAGAAATGGTTTGAATTTTGAATCTGTGATCTTGTTTAGAAAAATAAATATTCGTACAGACAGATTAAATGGCCTCGGACTATCTCAATCTCACTCAAAATTACATAAAATCCAGATCAATCAGCTTGAAGACCAAACTTTGAACTAGCGTCCCTTGATATATTCCAGATTCTTGGCTTCCCTAGTAGCCGTTTTCGGGGAGAACGATATATCAGGGGACAAGGAGCCAAAGATTCCGGTCACTCGCAACGTGCGTCGCGTCATCGTGCACAGGCAGTACGATCCTGCGACCTTCGAAAACGATTTGGCGATTTTAGAACTCGAAACTCCAATCAAATTTGACTCTCATATAGGTAAGCTTAAAGTACCACACACACGCAACCACTAAGTCACCTGATATATCGGTGAATCAGTGGTGACACCTGATATAACTTATGTTGAAAATGTAACTAGCTCGATTCAGACATCCATCTCTAATATCTCCTGTTCTATGTTAGCTACCGTTAAACATTAAAATCATGATTCCGATAAATTACCTCGTTGAATGCGAAATCCAAAAACAAGTACAGTAATGTAGGATTGGTAAGAACGGAGCGCATAGAAATAGTGTGAAATAGTGTGTTAAGATGTGAGTGAGAGAAAATAGTTGGACGAGTAAATGAACCCATAGACACAGCCCGCTGAGTTTCTCGCCGGATCTTTTCAATGGGTCCCGATTTCGATCCAATGGTAGATTCAGCGAAGCACTGCTCTTGTTAAGGCTAGTGTTAGCAAATTCTCTCAGGTTGAGCCCGTGAGCTCACCTACAGGTCCGCGTAAAATTGAAATAGCCTCTTAGGCTTCCAGCGAATAGGTAGGGGGAAAAATCTGAGCCCCGTGAATTCTCAACACTTTTGGTGAAACTAACATAACCTCTCCAGTTTACTAGGAATAGGTAGCTTAATAACAAAAGGAAATAAAAGTACACACACGGTTTTTACTGGTGGTAGTAGTAGTACGTATTGTGAGTCCGCACATACACCGAGCATTTTGCAGCAAGAAGTATCATTAAATCTTATTTCGTCAATTTGCTGATTGCTATTGAGAAATGCGCCTTTATAATTTGGATTAAAAAAATAAACTTATATAGCAAGCCAAACAAAAACTCTCATTAGTTTTCTATCCTGTTGATCATGTTCAGCATATTAAGGCAAAGCAATGTTTGTAACGTCATCGACTTCTCATACGTTTGCAAATCTTGAAGTTAATTCGGACGCCATGATGTTGTTGAAAATTACATTAAAAGATTCCATTACATAGACAGATACATTTCTAGCTGATATAACAATGCGTAATAAAAATAGCTCTGAGATATATTTATTTATAATATATTTATGTATTCAATTTAACAGACATCGTGCATTTTTCGATTTCCTCACTCATCAACAATCCCTACTGCGTCAACATATATCTCTTTACACTTCAACACTAATGAATCATATTGAACCATTCGTACCAAACTCAGTGTTTTTGCAACCTAACAATAGACATTATCCTTTTAGAAATTTTTGTCCCTATTATCGTTGACGTCTTTTTTTTTAATTGCCTTTGTAGGCAGTCTATGTTAGCCGTAGTAGACATGGCCTATATAATGCAATTTTGGAATTTACCAGACTTTCTTAATTCCAGTACCCATCTGTCTGCCTCCGGATGACGCTGATTTTACTGGCCGAGTTGCAACGGTCACCGGCTGGGGTCGAATCAAATATGGTGGTGGAATACCTGCTGTGCTCCAAGAAGTTCAGGTAAGTGTAAAATAAGTAAACACTCTATGTACAAGTTAAGATCTTCTGAATCCTGGAAACAAACGCGACGAGACAAGACCACTAGAAAAAACATAGACTTCGAACTAATTGCTAAATTGCAGACTGCGACCAAAAATCGATCCTAAAGTAATCAGTGTCACTATTTTCTTTCCTCCGTGTCGAAAGTAAGAAGGGATTTAGTATTAGTTCATGATGCTGAAGTAACGATGAAAATATCTACTTAATGTATGATTTCATTGTTGGTTTTTATAATCTACATGATTAAAATATCCAAAAGCACTGTTGGAATTTGTTATTCCGCACAGATAAGTACTACCGCTCTGCCTATTTCTGTCGCTAAGCAACAATACCTTCCAGTTTAAGGATTAGAACTGTTATGGTACATAATTGAGATATTTAGGCCTAATGATGAATTTGCGTTGTAATATTTACGGACTCTTATAACCACAGAATTCCCGGTGGGCTGTAACGCTATCCCACTTATCTATGCAATCCATAAACAAAATCCCAATTTAATGCTGTTGCTCATCGCTAGGTACCAGTAATAGAGAACAGCGCCTGCCAAGAGATGTTCCACACGGCGGGTCACGACAAGGTCATCAAATCGTCCTTCCTCTGCGCCGGCTACGCTAATGGCCAGAAGGATTCTTGTGAGGTGAGCTTGAATCTTCATTCTAACAAGCCATTCGTTAGATCCGATAAAGGTTGGCACCAGATATTCGTGTCATTTTAGCGGAATATTTAACGGAATACCGCTCATATTGCTTAGTCTAGCTAGATGATATAATAATTTGCTTCCACAACCTTGAGTTAAATCATGATTGAGAAATCGATACTCTTCAACGAACTCTCAGGACAGTAATTTCTTAACTCTCAGGACAAAACAAAAAGGACTAAAACAAAAGATTACCTGAATTTACTATAGACACCGCATTTTGAAACTTTAAAATATTTATTCCATAGGATGATAAATACCTTATCAAAAAGCATGGCGGTAAGACTAGGTAAAATGCTGGTTCCATACCAGAGTAAAATGGATATTTGTCTTATTCCAGGGCGATAGTGGAGGACCCTTGGTACTACAGAGAGACGACGGCCGTTGGCAACTCGTTGGCACTGTATCTCACGGCATCAAATGCGCAGCTCCATTCCTACCTGGAGTCTACATGAGGACCACCTTCTATAAACCCTGGCTGAAGAGTATCACTGCTGTTAAAGGTTGATTGTTCGAGGATAAAAAACAGCCACTCTTTCGGCATATTCTGGTGCTAATTACCAATTTTAGTAAAATGTAATTATTCTTTGGTATTGGTTTAAAAACCTACAACTACTTTGTGTACTAAGCTCAAATCAACGGATGTATAAAAAATACTTTTGTAAGACTTCAAGTTCATATTCCGCTCAAAATTTAGTATAAAATTGACGCGATTTACATTTACTATCATTTCATAATAATCTTATCATGTACAGTAAGCATAACACGATTAACTTCATGATCAACTTTATTATCATCTTAATCATCGCTAATCAGAACCATTTCATCATCCACCATCGTTTCTTTGTTCTTTTCAAATAAACGATTACATAAGGCAAACCAAATTAGGAGCTGCAATTTCAGTAGTGATCAAACATATTATATTAAAATTCCTATCTGCTCTTTCATAGCTCCTAAGCTGCTTATCTTATTTTAGCAAAAAGAGACTTAAAGCTCCAAGAGCTTTTTAAATTTTAACCCCATTGTTATTCTGGTTTGGGTTTATTTTTAAACTATTTATAATTACATCAGCTTATTAATTTAATTCATTCATCAATTCTTCATCTTTGTCATCATCATGATATCATTTCATTAGAATTGAATTAATGAATCTATTGTTTGTGTGTGTGCGTGAAACATGTATGGTTATATGTAAATAATATTAGTGACAAAATAATTTATTATTAGAAACCATAAAAGCTCTCTATGAATGGGAAAGCGCTTTTGTTACGAAAATCCAATTTGGCCAGTTTCCATAGATCCACGGGAATAAGGATGGGAGATGGCTAGGTGACTCTGGTTCTTAGTCGTCACTCATAGAATCATAGAATTTTTGAGATGGTCCTTCGTCTTTAAGCTGATCGGTCCATCGAGCTGGTGCTTGGTCACTTGATTTTTCCCCCTCTGTATTTAAAACAATTAACCCCTCCAAGCTTCTTTCGTCTCCACTTCTCATTATATGACCAAAGTAACTTAGAAAACTCTGTTCGCCGATCGTGTACGCCGAAGTTGATTTTGAGTTCTGACAGCATTGACTGGTTTGAGGGCTTAGCGCGATCTACGATATCCTCACGATACCCCTCCACCACCACATTTCGAAGGCATCAGTCCGTGCAATAAAGTGCAAAACTATGTCACTACTCTCGCGAATATTTTGACTAAGCACCAATTAAATTGGGTAAAGCAATATTTATTACTTAATCCCAAAAGACGACAAGTCCAATTGTGCAGTTTTATGTAAGATATAATCTAACAGATCGTCAATGGTACTTTCGTCTTCGAGAAATATTCGCTAGGGGCGAATTTAGTAGAAATACTGCATGCACAAAACCGACTTTATTCACAACAGAATAATGCTCATCTAAAATTAGGAAACTTAACAAATTTATATTCGTCTTATGCGATCCACGAAAAAGCTTGAACACTAATAAGTACAATATGTTTTAATTTTATTATATTCGTTTATTTAATTAGATTAAAAGCAATCAAGCAATATATATAAAAACTCCTAAGTATTTGAATTTTTTTCACTAGCAGCCAAACCCACAGCTGATAGGTTATAAATATCTAAAGAATTGCGGATATAAGTGTCAGCTATAGTCATCACTTTATATACATGGTTTTCTTCCACTGCAACAATTTCAGCTATTTCAGATTAGAAATTCTCAGAGCTAATATTTGTCTATATGGCCTCTCTTGCGTTTAGTAGATATATGACTTCGGGAAAGTCACTGATGGATTGATGATTGATGTTAGCTGATCTGTCTTAGTGAATGAGGATCTAAAGCGCTTTCCGTGTGAACGAGATATGGGAAGATCGATCGATATTATTGTATAAATCGCATTTATTTATTTGTTAATAACTAGTTTAAGACTGATGTAAGTGTTGGATGTTCGTTAGATAATACTTGTGTATCTTTCAAGTTGTTAATGCAGGAAATCGGGCCAAATTTTTGCTGTATTTTCTCTCAAAGTAATAACAAAACATTTTTTACCAGTGGTAATGAGCAGATAATTTATTATTGTATTGTTAAAGAGTTCGTTCAATTTTGTTAATTGTTCAATTAAATTTGTGCATTTATTAAATGTTTAAGTTACGAATAAATTTTTATTTAAAACTAAATAGAGTTTTTTTATTGGCTGCAACCAAATCTAGTGAGTAGAGGCCTGGTTCTGCGGTGTGCAATCATTTTGGAGGTTTATTAGCCTACTGGTACCACGCTGGCTAGACGGGTTGGTACAGGGTTTAATTTCGAGTTTGCCTTCTCTCACACTAGTAAATATTGTGTGTTATGCTTTCCCTTTTGTCGCCTCTTACGACTCCCCTGGGATGGTAATGGGGGTGGTGACAAAAGTATTCTAATGCCGTCACCACACGGCACCGTCACCACACGGCACAACCGGCCACCTACTAGATGGACCGACGACCTAGTAAAAAGCGCTGGGTCTCGTTGGATGCAGGTGGCAATGGACCGGTCGCACTGGAAATCTATTGGAGAGGCCTATGTTCAGCAGTGGACGGCGATAGGCTTAAATGATGAAATCTAGTGAGTGTGAAATTTTTAAACAAAAGTATATGCATAATCGCCGTGTTGATAAGCATTTAACTCGTTGAATCCTGTTAGGTTTCGTAGACACAGCCCATTGAGTTTCTCGCCGGATCTTCTGCGTGGGTCTCGATTCCAATCCAGTGGTAGATTCTGCACTGCTCTTGCTACAGCAAATTCTCTCAGGTCGAGCCCGTGAGCTCGCCTACCCGTCTGTAGATGGTATAGCCGCTTAGATTACAAATGATTAGGTAGGGAAATGACTCGCAGATTTATCACCTTCCAGAATTAATCATCAGCGGGCATCGTAGCCACGAAGGTCGGCAGAAATCAAACCGGTCCATTTCAAACTTTAATGCCATCTATTACTGTTTTCTTCTTATGATAATTATTGAAATTACCATTTTAATTCTTGACAAACAATTCGACATCCCTTTTCAATATTCCAATATATAATAAGTATGTTGTAGTGACTATGAACTCTTTGATGAGATGTTTCTTGTCGTTTGGTTCAAAATAAATAAAAGAAACAGTTGTAACTAAAAGCCATTTTTGCATTGTAACATATATTTCATAAGCTTTAACAATAACTACTTACATTTTTTATTCGCGTTTACATTAACGCCTTCCTCTATTTCTACTAATACATGATAAATGTTTTATTATTTTAGTCATAAACTTCAGTACGAAAAAAAGATGAGGTTTCATTCCTCAGGCTAAGCATTTTTAGAAGCATAAAGCTAATTTAAAAAAAAAATCGTTTCAACACGAATTCACGTGTAGTCTTTAACTTTTAAGGGTGTTCGGTGATTTTTTAACCGATTCCGTAAATAAATCTTATCGTAAAATTACCACATTTGAATTTTATAAGTAGAAGCACAATAAATTGTGGCATCTATAATTGTTTTTCTAAATTAAACAAAGTAAAAAATGGCCATCGGAGCCTCTGATTTCGAAAATAGCTGAAGTATTCCATCACAGTTACAATAATACATATTTGAACCTACAATTAATAATAATTACAGTATTTGACAATTATGTTCAATAGAAGATAATATTTCTATCGATATGTGTTCATCTACATCTTAATTTCTATTATTTTTCTCAATTTTTTATTGATGCAGCACAGCAGTTTTTTTTTATTTATTTACTAAACCCTAAATTATAAACTAGATTACATTTCAAAGATTTTATTGGTTAAATAGTTTTATTATTACATATATGCTTCTATCCTAAAAAATATGCTAAAACCAACTCTTTATGTAACGTTGAATATTGAGTTCCGTAAAGGATATTATCAACTTTTACTAATTTTTTTCTTCAGAACCTTTCTAAATTCTAATGCAAAACTTATGTTATAATCTTGTTATGATAAACAGTTGATACCTAATGTAATACTTAAGCGCTATTATTGTGCAAACTACATTATAAGCGCGGATCTATTAGGCTCTAATCTAATCTAATCGATAACATAGACGATATATTGTTTTACGCCTTTGTGTATGATTCCTTCAATACTAATTTAAGCAGTTTTCTCCTCTAAAACTAGCAATTTTTTTCTGCTCACAGTGACAGTAAATTTTTATGCTATACGAGAAAGAATCTTTGAAGCGATTAATTTGAAGTATCCGTATTAATTACCACCAAGTTTTAATTTACTTGGAAGTTTTGCCTTTGTAATGGAGACATTTCTTGCAAATTGCATCTGCCTTGTTCTTGATTGACTGAGTCGAAACAGCCCTCTCAGATTCAGGCTTAGAATCTTCACTGTCGAAAGATCCTTCGCTGAATTGCTGAATTAACTTTTTAATGTAGCTTCCGGGTCCTCTGATAGTCAATTTAGTATTACAATCCTGAGTTTTTTCAGATCCATCATCATTCTTACGATAATCGCTAAGCATTTGTAGGCCATCTTGAAAATTCTCGAAAGCTTGGGTTATTTTATCTCCAATATTCAATTTGTCTTGGATATCGCTTAACTGGACTGGCTTGTGTTCAGTTTCTTCAACGATTTTATTGGATCCCGTAGGAGTTATTATTATTTCGCTATTCTTCATGTCGATTGTTATTTTAGCATCGTCAAGGCACAGGCCAGTTAAAGCCACGTCTACAGATTTGGATCTGTACTGCCGCGATGGTGCTGGAAGTTGCAGTTGATTGGCATCAACGCTGGTCTCTTGTTTGATCGTTCCTGTTGATATAACTGGTGATGAAGACAATGATGACCTTTCTCCAGGACTCGAGCCTAGAAACCGAAATCATAAATAAGCATTCATACACACAGTGCTAGCTGATTACATAGTTAGTTAGTAAATTAGGTAGTTGATCAAAGATTTTGTTTTAGTATAAAATTGTTATTTCAAATTATGGTACTCTTTTATTTTTCATTTAATTATAAGCCTCCACCTGTAGATAATATTTTACCTCAACATATTTTGGCTTCAATTGTTTCACTGTTTGCCCCTAAAATCACAGAAAAATTATTAGTTCACACCTCGCGATACAACTAGCCATGAGATAAAGCTCTACTTTTGTTCTTCGTGTTAAATCTAAATGAATATGAAAAGTTCGGTTTGAGCAAGGTTTTGAATGAAATAATAGACGGTGATAAAATGACAACGATAATATGAGTTCACAATAGCTAGCAAATACACGTAATGATACTAAAACAAGCTTAACCATTTCACTAGCAACACATATAGCTACCAATGCGTCTAATACGTAAACCCACCATTGGAAGCATCTTCTCTTTCTTCCTCGAACTGCGGCAGAGGCTGTTCTATCATCATGCCCTGGACCATATCCATGCAAGAGTCAAGAGAGAACTTCTTGCCACACATTTTGATGCCACGGATACGTCGACGCATCTCTGGTTAGTAAGTACAAGCATTGTGGGTTAGTAGTGTTTGATTGACTCTTGGTAAACAAATATGTTTAGGTATAAATATATTAGCGGTTTTGGTCTCTTCTGATTTAAATAAATATTGACAAGGATTTAATAGAATCAAAACTTACCAGGACTGTCCTTAGGTTCCATTTTTAGTTGCGCAAAAGTCTGCGCGCACGATGTTAGAACCTGTTCGTAATCACAGATGGCAGCGTGAGTNTAGTAGTGTTTGATTGACTCTTGGTAAACAAATATGTTTAGGTATAAATATATTAGCGGTTTTGGTCTCTTCTGATTTAAATAAATATTGACAAGGATTTAATAGAATCAAAACTTACCAGGACTGTCCTTAGGTTCCATTTTTAGTTGCGCAAAAGTCTGCGCGCACGATGTTAGAACCTGTTCGTAATCACAGATGGCAGCGTGAGTTCCGTTCACGATTTTTGGACTCATCGGACTGTTTGCGAGAAGAAGACTTGTCCCGAAAGTCGCGTTTAATTCTCGGGTTTCTGGAATGTCAACTCCAATTGAATTTTCTTTTATTGCTTAGATTGGTGGAACGAGCTCACGACCCACCTGGTGTTAAGTGGTTACCGGAGCCCATAGACATCTACAACGTAAATTCCGACACCCACCTTGAGACATGAGTTGTAAGATCACACTTTTAACAGTACAACGGCTGCCCCGCCCTTCAAACCGAAACGCATTACTGCTTCACGGCAGAAATAGGCAAGGTGGTGGTACCTACCCATGTGGACTCACAAGACGTCCTACCACCAGTAATTATGCAAACTATAATTTTGCGGCTTTGGTTTTTATTACGCAATTTTATTCCTTCACCGTGGAAGTCAATCGTGAACATTTGTTAAGTATGTATTTCATTGGAAAAAATGGCACCTGCCGGCAGGACTCGAACGCCTATGCATCGTTACATACGAATGCACCGGACGTCTTATCCTTTAGGCCACGACGACTTTAATTGATTATTTAAAAGATTTCAGTTAGCCATTTTAGCATACTAAGATTTGTGAGAAAACAGATTATGAAAGAATGTTATGAATTTCGTTTTGTTACGACACCCTCTGGTTTCTAACTTTGTTTTCATCATCAATTTTCCCGGATAACATCAGCACTCATGATTCTTTATTAGAACGCAATCCCCTCCGATCCAATCAGTCCTATTCCTAATTCGATACGGCACGAATGCCGTCATTGTCGTTGTAATACTTAATATTTTATTCATTCATTATTAAATCTTTTTTAAAAGATCCTCTCTCAATTCCGTATAACAAATTGGTAGCAGAGGTGGGATCAAAAAACTTAATAAAAGATCCTCGGTATCCCACCTTTGCCACCAATTTGCCCCCCGGCTAGGATTAAAGCCACACCCTTAATGGTGAATTTATGTTATGTTATGTAATGATGCGGATTCTAGGATTATTAGAAATAGGAGGTAATTCCGGATCTGGTGATACATCTGGATTATGGGATTAGTTGAATCTTAAACAGTTTATAGACTAAAGCTACACTTAAAATTATCACAATAGTGTATACAATTAGAAATTTATTTATTTATGAAATAATCGTCACCTATAAGTACCTGAGGTTGTTCAATGATCTTGTTAAGCTTACTGTTAAGATTTTCGAGGTTATCTTTCTAGTTAATAAATTAAGTAGTTAATAAATTTAGAAGTTATGAAATGAAAAAGCTAGTATGTTTAAGACGAGTTCTAGGAAAGAACACGGCTGGATCAGAATTATTTGGATGGTTTGAAATGTATTTGATAATTTCAAAGTCGCCGGTAAAACTGCCTATTTTTTAAATGTTTTTCCTATATGGTATTTGGATACCATTGCAATATACAGCCGTGTGTAATTTCGGCAGGTACAGTGCTATGAATATTAGTTTCGTAAATATCTTTGTCAGGAAAATCGATTGACAACTTCGCAGCCTTTGAGATAATAAATATCCATCTGTTCCCGTTTAGTTCTTACCATACTTTGCTGTCTTTCGAATTTAGTGCAGTATACTCGATTATAGTTTCGATCTTGGTATTACACTAGCCTCGTTGAATTGTAACATAAAGGGAACTTTATTTAATTTTAGTTGATGTTTGGGGTAATCGATTTTTCCGTGCATTGCATTAAAGAACTCATTCCCGATTAGGTATACTATCGTTTTAATCGCACAACTATCAGGCATGGATATTAATATCTTTGTAACAATCTCGCTTACACATATAAGAATAGGTTATACTGGACGTTGACATTTTTACAAATATAATTTTCGGATATTAACTTACATTTACTTAAATCATTAAAATTACAATATTTACTTCTGTCTCTTGAAAACGCAATATAAATATTAATAGGAATAATACTCGTAGTAAGGTAAGATTCGTTTTTAAATGACAATTAATACATACTTATTTCTGGTAAGGTAATACACGATACATAGTTATTTCTTACACACGATACATATAAAGGGTTAACTAAAGGTATTTTAACAACAAATATCATTGACAACAAATATGATTTTGCTATTGTGATAAAATGTACTTAAGCTAGATACATCCATTAATGTATGAACATTACTTGGGTTTAAATGTATTGGAAGCTCTTTAGAACTTGGTAGGAGTCTATAGTGGGTAACCCCACTAAGTCATTACATAGCTGTTGAGGAGAATATATAGCAAGATAAAGAACATTATTCTTACTGAACATTAGAACGTTAGAAATATCTTTTAGTTTAAATGATAAAGTGATTAAGATATTTTCTAACATATAAACAACTTTCATAATTTTAGTTCTAATATTTAATTAAAGGATTCTTTAGTCACATTTTTTTATCTTTCTAATATCCAGTTGACAATGCTGTTTAAGGATTTTGCACTAGCTACGAGGTTTTTGATAGTTTCATACAATATTTTACGGTTAGAGGTAGAAATGACAATGTTTTGTTTCATAGGATTTGCAAAGTTCCTGTTGGTCCTTTTGTAGAGTTTGAATAGCGTCGTCCTCATCCACGGTGCCGAATAAATTTTTTAACCCAGTTTCAACAATATTGGATAACCACGTGCACCTCTTAGTCATATGATTAAGGAGATGAAGAAATGAGTCGAAATTATGACCATATCTGTATATCTGACTTCAAGAGGTTGAATAACATTTTCGCATTCAATTTGTACAAATATTTGACTCTTGTTACATAGAGTACATGCTACACTTAGAGCTGCCTATATATATATCTAGGTGAGGCTTGATAAAATATATGTCTACAGGTATCACTATACTTAGATGTTCGTGAACCAACCGGATCAAAATAAAAGCTGATGCTAGAGTTCACAAAATCAGGATCTGTCATCTAAATAGACAAAACACTGCAATCTGAAAGTGCCAAATCAATCTGAATCAATCTGAAAAGTAGATGATGCGTTTTTAAGGCCAAGCCATACGGCTGAATTTGAATCGGCTTTGGGGAACAGTAAAAGCAGTCTTCTTAGAATCCTCAGGGTTCATTTGGATTTGATGAAACCCAGAGGCGAGATCTAATGTGCTAAAATATTTACTTCTACTAAGTTGATCTCATATTTCCAGTGATTTCATTATGTTTTCGGTAGTCTATGAGTACACTCCACTTCTTTTCACTAGAAACGTCAGCTTTTTTGAGTAGATCGGAGACGACCAGGGAAATGCTGAAGGCTTAATGATACTTTATTCTAGCATTTTACGGATTTGTGTGTCGATTTCCTGGTTGTGGCACTCCGGAAAGCGATAGGTTTTAACATAGAGGGGGGTTGACGTTGTCGTTTTTATTTCGTGTTTTATTTCATTTGAATACGTCAACAGATCGCCAGGGAGATGGAAAATATCCGAAAATTGTTCGCAAAGTTGGAAAAATTGTGATTTCGCAATAAGAATTTGTCCTATTTTATCCAGTGGTGTCAATCTTAACTTTAGTTCGGTTGTTCGTATGTATTCACGACGGATATGTTGATTCTGGAGTTTTCTTAGGTTTTGATGATCCAGTTGGCAATGTAGGCACGGATGTTGATTTAAAATGAGACCTTCATGAATTTTGGTGTTTAGTACAGTACATTCGATTTTAGTTTCGGAAATCTTGGAATTACGCCAGACTTGTTGAATTGTAACTTAAAGGGAATTTTATTTAATTTTAGTTGATGTTTGGGGTAATCGATTTTTCCGTGCATTGCATTAAAGAAGTCATTCCCGATTAGGTATACTATCGTAAGGTGACAACGTCAAAGTTGTGTTTTAGTGCGTCGAATTGGATTGGGATATGCCCAAGGGTTGATTTTGTACCCGACGAGTCAATTTGAACTTATTAATATTTTGAGTGATTTCAGGTAACACTTCGATTGACAATTTTGATACCAGGATAATAGACGACGCACCTGTGTCAATTAATAATGATTGGCAAGGGAAAATTAAATCTTTAGAAATTTTCACTACGGTGGTGCGCTGGTTCTAGTATCCCGTAGGTTCCTGCGTGGGGCGAGTATCACCAAAAGATGAACAAAAAGAGGCCGAGGCTAGGTAATTTTAAAATGAGTAGTAGACGTACCTGGCAACCCGTCGCTGGCTCCTTGTAGGCTGCAGAATCCAAGGAACTTGACTGCTGGACGACGCGTAATGGCAGCGGTCGGCCTGACGGCTTGAGAACTCTCCTCTAAATTAGTTATGCTAACTAAGCCGGTATAACACTCGCACTACGACGATGATAATCATCCGTAGGAGTTCGTAAGAGAAAAGTAGCAAAAGTCTAAGATATTGAGATGTAACAAGCGGCAGGTGCGCGTACCACGCGAGCGATATTCGAGTAACTGTCATTCGATGACCGGGCGTGAGTTGACAAGTTTTTTTATCTACCCTCATCAAAAAAGAACCAATGAAAATGGCTTCGAAGAAACAGAAGTAATTATTTTTATATAAGGTAATTACCTATATTTATGGGAGATATTAGTAGTTTAATTATAGATAGATTCAGAACCGTGTGGCGATTTGTTGATAATATAATAACTGTTTTGATTGGAGTTTGGGGTGAGTGTTGTTCGCTTAAATTTTCGATTCGCATTTTTTTTGCACTCGTTTGGCGGGTTATTGCTGTCCTCCATTGCGTTTCTGTTTAAGATATGGTTGTTGAAGTTTGAGAAATATTTAAGCAACAATGAAGTTACGTCACGGTGTAATAGTCGGACAAACAATTAATTCAATAACGCTACCGTCTCGACGTGATAAGTTCTGGATAGTCGACGAAGCTATTCGATGTTCTCAAGGACTAAACATATTTTAACTTAAGTTATTAAAATTAGTTTAATATAATTTACATTCGGATACAAAAGTTCTTAAATAATTTTCGTTACAGATTATACTAATTAATAATAATGGGACATCATATGTTAAATTCTAATTATGTAATGTCTATAAATCCACAATTTCTTGACTCGATATAGCACTGGTTCACTTACTACATAGATGAACACCACCATTGAAAGAATTTCGGTGGCATGATGCTGTGGCTTCTGTTGCTTGGTCTTGGCGTGATGGATTGCGTGGCCTCAGGATGGAGATGTAGTTGGGGCTCGACTTCACCCCATTTGCGTAGACGAACAAAAGTAGACGGGCTCGAACAGATGAACTTGAATTTTAGATTTTTATGATTAGGTAAACACAAGTTTATCTTGTTTACACTTCTATTTTCACTCCTTAGATTTGTTATACACTTTTGTATTTAAGTATTCTTTTACACTTTTATGTTTCACTTCACTTTATTGGTTTCTGAAGGTATTTCGAGGATACCGAAGATATTTCATTACTTTTTTTAATCCCTTTACGCTGTCCCAATTTTTCTTTTTAAAAGATCCTCTCTCAATTCCGTATAACAGTTTGTAAGTTGGAAACAAAAACCTTACCTTTTAATGAGATTCTTGGCTTCTTGACCACAGCAATGTTACCGTTCTCCGAACCAAACACGTCAGTTAATATCTCGGAAGCTACAATTTTGATTTCGTTCCAATCGTCTGAAATACAGATACATAATTCTCTTAAGAACATAATGCGAATGTCATGTCACAATTGAATACCGAACAGTTATTGAAGAATTCATCTGTGAATAGCTGGATTTCAAGGCTCCAGAATTTTAACCAACGGTCATATTAGGTACCGAAGTCCATAGATATTGTTACGCCGGTAAGAGTAACGCCATCTATCGCCGAATAGTCAAGCGAATATCGAAGGATATAGTAGCATCTAGAACGTTCGAGAAGTAAAACGCCATCTATTGACAGATAGCGGAAACTACTACTAGAGATGTGTAGAATATTCTCGATAATTCTAGGGATGAGGTATCGGCTATAAAAGCGTTGTAGAGATGGCACGCAGTCAGTCAGTAATCGGAACTACTCGAAGCGAAACAGCGAACGGATCACCTGAACCGAAGCGGAACAAGCGAATTGAGAGTTTTAAAGTGTTTGTTGAGTGTTTTAAAGTGTTTGTGAAGTGTTGAATACAGTTTTTAAGTTATACTTTGGTGAAATTTTATTTATCCTGAACCCTCAGCGCGTAACAATATCATAAGCCCCAGTAATTTTGCTCTTCGATTTCATTGGACGTCATAAACACGTCTTAAGTACAGATTTACATAGTCAAATTCTTATCTGCCTGAGAGATTTGAATCACTGGAATATTCGCATCGCTGGATACGAGTACATTGCTTATCTTTTAGACGACGACGGCTTGCTAGCCTTCCTGGGAGGGTAGCTAATTACTAACTCAATTGTGACTTCAATTTTTTTTCTAAGAAGCTTTTGTCTCCATTATTTAACCCTCTTAGCATTGACAAATAATCGTGCCAGTGTAAAAGAAAAATACCCAATATATCCTGATTAGTCGTCTTCTGAGAGGTGATGGTGAATCTGATGACGTAGATGCCTTTGAAACAGGCGGGGACGGCGTGGATGTAGCCACGAGCATTCAGCCGCTTCAAGAGGCGCTCGGTGAAAGCGTTGTCACCTTTCAGGCGGAATGCCACCATACCTAAGAGATATTACCACTATAAAGTTTATCAGGGATGTGGGTTCTACAATTATAAGCCTTGTGATCAAGTCAGACCAGTCATATTACAATGTGCATACTAAGCATACTTATTCTAAGGATACCGTGTTGCAGTGTATATCAGATGCTCTCTTAATCTCGATTCCGAAAATCCCCCTATGCATAACGAAGTTACTTCAATTAACTACTAATTCAATTAGCCTATAAGGATATTACTTAGAATCAGTCCAATTTTCATCAAACGCTGCCCCTACTTATCAATTAGTTTTCTAAAGCGGATTTCGAATTAAGACTTTAAAAAAAAGCTCAAATTACCCAAGTTACTTGGTTGTGGAATCTCGAATCTCGGATCGGCCAGCACTAGAGCCGCGAATTTTTGGGCCAAGCGCACACCCTGAAATAATACATAAGTTTTGATGTTTAAAAAATGGAATTTGGGATAAAACAAATTTTAAAAATTGCCAAAATCTCTGGTATGGAGATATAAAAATGTGAAAGGTCGCGTCGCCTTGGGAATCAATTAACATCTTCAATAACTTGAATAAAGACCTATTATTCAAATTCCAACAATTTTATAGCAGCAAATTAATAAATAAGTCGTTGCTTTTAAGGTGTCCTGGCTCCCAACTAACTTAATATTAATAACAGTACGTCACATTGTTAAAAGCATGCTGAGGTAATCAATAGAGTCGTTTTCTAGACTCTTCTTTCAAAAGGAAAATAGAGTTAACTATTGCTCACCTCGCGGATATGTTTTTGGATGCCAACAACACCATAGTTTCGCAGCACAAACCAGAGCTTTAAAGCTCTGAAACGACGACTCAATGGGATCTGCCAATGCTGTAAATTTAAAATAATCCTCATTTTTCTTAATTGTCTTTAATGTTTTTTTAAATGTGCTACCAATAACCATTATAAGGGTGAATGTAGCATCATGCATCTATTGAGTGATTTATATCGCGAATACATATTAAATCGGATATATTTTAACTGCCGAAGTCTGCAGTTACAGGTCAAAAATGTATAGCTTAGGTATCGTATTTTTATTTTACAGTTAGTAGGTAGATACTAAGTTGTGCACTAAAACTTTCATTTGCAATTTCTATTAGAGCCGCCTGGTGCTAAGTGCTTACCAACACCTCGTGACTTTATGAATGTTAAATTCATTTAATCTGGTATCCAGTCCTAAATTTATATTCACAGTTTTTAATCTAAATATCGCTGTTGTCTACAAACCGAATCAATAGTTTTTATTTGAGCAGTATTGAATTCTTAAAATCAAGTACTAAGTTTTGAATTCCCATGCACTAAGCATCAACCCCCAGCAGCGTTGGCAACGTGGCGCTGTCCAAACTTAAATAACCCACCACCAAAAACCCATCACCTATCATCAAACATCTCACAAGTAGCTCCTTCTTATGAGGATCTTCCAGTTGTATGATTTTACCGCATCCGTGTGATATTTTATTGTAGCCATGAAGGTTTTTTGTATCGCCAACAGCATCGTATAAATCGTCATCTTTACCAATATCACCATCAACATCGGTACTCACTTCGACGGCATCAACTTTGGTAATGTTACGATTCTCAATTTGTGTGATTACCCCATTATTTTTGTTAAATTTGTTATCAACTTTGTAATCCTCGGCTTTCGGATGATCAATATCGTTCATAATGTTTATCTTTTTTAGTGTCAACTTTTTTATGTCTTCATTCTGGGATCCGACCTGAGTTTTTAGTCACATTTAAAAAAAAACGGAATGTTAATAAGAAAGAAAGACAAGAAACAGTTAAAATTTCGAACTAATAAAAAATGAAATCTTAAAAAAAAACTTACCATGTAATCTATTGCTTTTCCTGTTAAAGAAAACATTACTTTTTTTAATTAATTTCAAATTATTTTAAAAGGTTTTAGTTTTGTTGAAAAATGAAATTAAATGTATTAATGCATAAATACTATGGAATGTAAATAAAATACGCCACAGCGTACAAACAGGGGGGTCAAACTGTGGCAAAACATAGTATGCTATTTATAGTATATTGGTAAATATATTAATATACATATTATATTTCTACCGTTACTCCTAAATGTACTAAAGGTAAATAATATTACAATACAATGTCATAGGCTGTCGATCGACTCACAAGCGCTCACTAAAGCCACTTTTAGACGATATGCTTGTAATCGGGAAGTTAAAAAAAACACAATTACCTGAATTTTCGTGTCTCAAGTAAATTGGATTGACATTGAAGGTTCGATGCAGAGCAGTACTGTCCTTTACCCTATAAAAGAGAACAAGTCTGTAATACTTTTATTTATATTCGTATAATCTAAAAAAAACATTCTTATATTTGATTTTAATACTAAAGTTATCGAATCTTATTTTTTCTTCTTTTTTTATTGCATAGGTGGATGGACGAGCTCACAGCCCACCTGGTGTCAAGTGGTTACCGGAGCCCATAGACATCTACAGCGTAAATACCGCCACCCACCTTGAGATATGAGTCCTAAGGTCTCAGTATAGTTACAACGGCTGCCCTACCCTTCAAACCGAAACGCATTACTGCTTCACGGCAGAAATAGGCAGGGTGGTGGTACCTACCCGTGTGGACTCATAAGAGGTCCTACAACCAGTAATCTTGCCTTAAGCCACTTCTCCCGTAACTACAACCGTTTTAAATAGAATATATTCAGACTCATTAGCCAAGTTAGAATTTTCTTCTGAGTTAAGAGATTCAGTCTTCGAATATCCATAGTATCTTTCATAAAACTATTGAACGACTCAGACCAGGCATCGAACAACTATGCAAAAGTTCAATAGTCAAATTAGAGGCGATCAGATATACATCGGTCCAATCTATTTTGGATAATAACGATAATAGGCTAGTCTTTAGCGCAGATTTATTTCATAGTTCTCTTTTTTTACATCTGGATATTTACACCAAAACACTAATATCTTAGACCATTTTGAGAAGCTATTTTGGATATCTGCTCCAAACTAGACGTGTCTAGTTTGTGTCTGCATGGTGTCTGCGTTTAGTTTGGTATCCAGCTTCCTTCAGTATAACAACGAAATTGAAAAAATCAATCAAAAAATAAAAAATAATAAACATCCAACTCTACCCAACCGTATAAAAACAAATATACAACGACACACATTAAATTGGAGTTAATTTTGATATGATTGTAGCGTAGGATATTTTTTTATTTCGATAGAAATTATCCCTCCAAAGATTTAAAACATAAATTCTGGGAAATTCGTTTGAAAATTTTCTGTACTGTTTGTTATTCATTGAAAAAAGGAATAAGTATAATTGTTACCACATCGCAGTGCAGTCAAAGTTCACCATTAACCATTTGGATGGGTTAAAAGCGAACGAATCGGCAAGTTCTACTCCATCCAGCCAATGTCTGAAAATTGTTCATTTTGTTATTTCCCACTATATAAAAGGAATGTATACAGTGTGTTTGTTCATTGCGAACAGAAATTGAGCATGTGCCCTATTGAGTATACCCATAATCAGTTATTATAATAATAATAAGCCGTTTATTTCTTGCTTTACAAATTTAAAAAAAATATATAATAAATATAAATGTATGTATTAGTATTTAGGATGTATAAGTTTTGTAATGAATCAGTAAAATTTATTTAGCAAGAACCCCGGATCGGGTAAAGGCCTCCTCCAAAGATGCCCTAGCGTCTCTATCCTGTGCTACGTCTATCCAGTTCGGGCCAGCTGTTCGTCTAAGATCGTCTTCCCATCTGGTTAGTGGTCTCCCTCGACTTGTCTTGCCCGTTGAGCCGCTCCAAGATGCCATCATCAGTTTGTTATGTTGCAGAAAGTTATTTAAATAGACCTAAGGCTCCTATTCCTATAGGTTCCTATTCTTATAACCCAATAGGTTCCTATTCTTCTTCCACTCCTTCCATTCCTTCTTCCGAAAACCCAATAGGTTCCTATTCTTCTTCCACTGAATGTTAGACAGCTTTATTTCATCATCAAAAAAAAACTATTTACCCCTCAAAGAAAACAACGCTATGGGGACTCATTATAAAATTATTTTTGCGTATTAGGATATGCGATACCTGTATTCGGGACAAACGAAAGCGCTTCCAGCATATGCCGCATCCACGTGTAGCCAGGCTCCGTGTTTCTGGCAGACCTGACCTATCTCACGGAGATTGTCGAACGCCACAGATCCTGTTGTGCCTAATGTTGCACACACCTGAAAATATCGAGTGTTTATTTTTTTTAAATATTATCTCGAGCTGCGGCTGAAGATAATTAAAACTCATCACTGAAATACCAATCAAAATTAAAGGTAATTAGAATTGCAATTAAATGTATGATTTTGAATTCGTCGTGGCCTAAAGAATAAGACGTCTGGTGCGTTCGTATCGAGCGATACGACTGTACCAGTGTTCGAATCCCGCAGGCGGGTACCAATTTTTTTTATCAGGACAAGGATGAATATCGTGTAATCAAATCATAGTTTGCGTAATTACTTAGGCGTCTTTACGTACATCTAATTTCTGTCGCGAAACTGTAATGCCTTTCGATTTTAAGGGCATGTGGCAGCGGATGTACTGTAAAAACTGAGACTTAATAGTAAAAACTCGTGTGCCAAGGTAGGTGGCCACATTTATGTTCTTAATCTCTATGGTCTCCGGTAACCATAGCACCAGGCGGGCCGTGAGCCCTTCATCATCCTATGAAAAAAAAACGATCACAATCCACTTCTTCAATCTCTAGTCGTGTTCCGTTCTTCGCTTCACATAGAACTGCATTCTCTTTTCCTCTATGTCAAGCTTATTTTGTGGTTTCGACTGCGTCTAGAATTTTCCAGAACATTCAAAAGATTTTCTAGTTGTTTCGATATCCGTTTTAGCTTAATGACGACAGATGGCATTACTCGTGCCAGCATAACAATACCATGATATTATAGCCTTGCCCTAGTGCCGTACTCATATTAGTAATGTTTTAATTAAACTACACAGAAACGAGCTACAGATTTAAATCGGTACATCAAAATGTCGGTGAAGGAATTTCACCTTCTCTTTCATAATAACTGTCATCTAAACTGGAGATGACAGTGATCATGAGATCTGCACCATGCGGTCCATGCCACTCATGATCGAACACAGTGGAAAAAGTCACATGTGGTCGCGATCCTCAGTGGTGAAAGAACTATATACATAGAAGAAGAAAACTGGAGATTCCCAAACTATTTTGGGCAAGACGGTCCAATTTCCAAAATGAACTGATACTTCAGTCCCCCAAAGCCAAATCACTTTCCAAAACTTATTTCTAGTTTGTTTTCTATTTAATACAGACCCAAATTTAAAAACAATTGCAGCTTAGAGGGACTGAGACAGAGAGAATATACTAGACTTTATTGTACACCAAAACACAATTAACATTCAAAAACTATCAACAGGTTGTTGGTAGGTGTAATTGCACAAAATGCGGCAACAAACATTTGCTAAGACAATATTTTTTTTATTGCTTAAATGAGTGGATGAGCTCACAGCCCACCTGCTGTTGAGTGGTTACTGGAGCCCATAGACATCTACGACGCAAATGCGCTACCCACCTTGACATATAAGTTCTAAGGTCTCAGTATAGTTACAGCGACTGCCCCACCCTTCAAACCGAAATGCATTACTGCTTCACCGTAGAAATAGGCACGGTCGTGGTACCTACCCGTGCGGACTCACAAGAGGTCCTGCCATCAGTAAATTATTCAGAGAAATACTGAAAAAGATACAGCAGTATGTTGCGATGTACTATTAACAATATCCAGAATGATCTATCAAAATCGACCAAGCCATTACGCACATTATTAAAGAAAACACATAAGACATACACCACTGAATATACATATCTACAGCTATTAATTTATTGTTTTCTTTGGGAATTAATTAATTTCAGGCCTATTATATTCTTTGAGAATTCTCGGTTTTGAACTACTGGTGGTAAGGCGTACCACGTCAGGCATCATTCTGCGCGGAGACCTCATACTGGACGTCGTAACGTGAACAGATATCCAATGAGGTGGACCGATGACCTGGTCTAAATAGTTAATAAGGATCGGAAGGAAAAGGATAACGGTGCTTTTAGGTACCCCAAGCACCGGTCACCGTCCTGGCCGAACCCGTCGCTTGCGACGAAGGGCTCGGCGAGTAATTTAACCCATAGACACAGCCCACTGAGTTTCTCGGCGGATCTTCTCAGTGGGTCGCATTCCGATCCAGAGGTAGATTCTGCGGAGCACTGCTCTTACTAGGGCCAGTGTTAGCAACAACTCCAGTTTGTGCCCCAAGAGCTCACCTACACGCTAGGGCAACACTGAAACAGCCTCTCAAGGCTATCAGCATAGGTAGGAATTAAAATAAGGAAAAAAATGGGATGCATACGAAAAGACCTACTCAACATTGAGTGGACGCAGGTTGAAGAAAAGAACAGAGGAGAGTGTTATGAGAATACGTAAAAAAGAAATCGAATGTACCGCTGAGCAATGCAATAAGTTAATTTAAATGAAGCTCTAATCGGAGCTTTTGTTAAAATCGTTAACGCGTTATATTTCGCAAAAGCTAACGATACGATTCGGGACGCTAACGATGCAATCGATTAGATTAGAAAGCTGAGATATGATTTAGCTTTGTGCAAACTTTCTCGGGATTGATCTATCGGGGTGCAAGGGGTAGATTGGCCAGACCACGACCCACCTGATTAAGTGGCTGACGGATTCCAAAAATACATAGCCTAAGTCGAGTCGAGCTCTAAAGACTACTGTACAATAGCTAACCCATCCTCAAATCAGAATGTCATTTAGCAAATCTATATCCTAATGAAAGTTATTTGCTACACATATTAAAGGCGACATTTGCAATTATTTTTTTACAGTCAAAATACTAAAGAAACCCTTTCCCTGGTTATTATCCTTCATTTGTTATTCCATTGATATCGCATATAATTCATCTATACTAATATTATAAAGAGGAAAGATTTGTTTGTTTGTTTGTTTCGAATAGGCTCCGAAACTACTGGACCGATTTGAAAAATTCTTTTTCCATTAGAAGCCGACATTGTCCCTGATGAACATAGGCTACTTTTTTAATAAAAAAAATTATTTTATTTTTTTGGTTTCATGTGTGTTTTAATGTTTCCGAAGCGAAGCGAGGGCGGGTCGCTATCTATAATAATCGACAAATACCTCTTTTTCGAAATCGATTTTAAGTCAATTATGTAGCGCTTTTCGATAATCATGTAATAATAAGATGGAGCCATCTCGCTATCTTCAGGCGTTATTCAATTATGTACCCTTCCGAGTTTCATATAGGCTTCTAATTACTTTGTGCCGTGTCAAGGAGTTTGGCGTATCTCTCCCTTTAGGTAAAATAGGCTTGTTGACAAAAAAATTGCGAGACATTTTGGCGGGCGTACGACAAATTAAGTTTGTTTTATGTCGATCGATTTAAGTTTTTTAATTGCTCATGCGGGTATTATTACGCTACCGGAGTCCATAGACATCATGATTTTTTTTTATTGCGTAGTTGGAATGACGAGCTCACCGCCCACCTGGTGTTAAGTGGTTACTGGAGTCCATAGACATCTACAACGTAAATGCGCCACCCACCTTGAGATATAAGTTCTAAGGTCTCAAGTATAGTTACACCGGCTACCCCACCCTTCAAACCGAAACGCATTACTGCTTCACGGCAGAAATAGGCAGGGTGGTAGTACCTACCCGCGTGGACTCACAAAAGGTCCTACCACCAGTAGGATTAGTATCACTAGTAGTAATTGGACTAGGACAACTGCAATATATTTATTCGTTAATTTTTTTACGTTGTAGATGTCTATGGTACAGTAACCACTTAACACCAAGTGGGCGGTGAGCTCGTCTACCCATCTAAAAAAATAAGAACATGTTGAATTGAGTAATAAATAATTATTATGTCTTTCTTTCTCGCTTTTGATTAAACTTTATCGCGTAATACCAAACAATAAATTATCGTCAATTTAAAAAGCATCTCTCCAGTCTATGGAGGACCACAAATCCCATTGCAGAAAGTATAATATTTTTAAAATGATATTGCGACAAAGCCTTTCAATTTCATCATTAAAATGGGATTGTTTTCATTTCTATAAACATAGGAACGTGGTCCGTCCCATTGAGACCAATTTGTGTTGAAGCAAGGATTATAAATGTCTGAAAAGTTTGGTGTGATTCTCGAGAGAAAAGCGTTTTTTTTTTTGCTTCCTTCGCATCGTTATATTTTGATGATGAATCGTTTGATCGTCAGTGAATTTCACAGAATTTTATTTAGGCTCTTAAATGATTTATGATTTTTTTTCCTACTTATTCGCTGGTGGCCTAAGAGGCTATTTTAGCTACGCCCGGACGGATAGGTGAGCTCACGGGCTCAGCCTGAAAGAATTTGCTAACACTAGCTTTAGCAAGAGCAGTGCTTCGCAGAATCTATCACTGAATTAGAATCGCGACCTACTGAGAAGATCCGGCGAGAAACTCAGTGAGCTGTGTCTGTGGATAAGTGTTTGATTTACGCTGATAAAGATTCACATTATGGCCTGTGGTTGTCTTACTGGTGGTAGGATCTCATGTGAGTCCGCACGGGTGGGTACCACCACCGCGCCTATTTCTGCTGTGAAGCAGTAATGCGTTTCGGCTTGAAGGGTGGAGCAGCCATTGTAACTATACTGAGACCTTACAACTTAATCTCAAAGTGGGTGGCACATTTACGTTGTAAATGTCTATGGACTCCAGTAACCACTTAACACCAGGTGGGCTGTGAGATCGCCCATCCATCTAAACAAAAAAAAAGTATATTAGCATTAATAACGACGGTTATGTTAATATAAATCCGTTTTCTCGTAAAAAACGATTTCTCGCAGACCTGCTACTACATGCAATTAATCTTAAAACCGTGCTTTATAGAACTTAATTGGCTACCGGTATTTCTTTTATAACTTGGCCCACCCGCTAATACCTTGGCTAAGTAATACATTTAAATTTCTCATTGATGGTGCTTCATTTTGTACTTAATTCCTTCATTACTTTGTATTCTAAATTTATTATTTTCACCGTCAGTGGCATAGGCATAAAGTGGTAACTGTTTGAATCGCTTAGAGGAAATTTAAAGTGTGTTTTAGCGGTAATATATGCATGTACTATATGTTAGAGATAATAGATATACAACAGTATAGATTTCCACGTATTGGACTAGATATCTAAGTTATTCACATGGCAACACTGCACCAATGCCACAGACATATTGCAAATTGTCAAATGTCAAACTGTTGACTATTAATGTCAATGTAACTGTCAGTAATGTTTTGGAGTTTATGGCCTGGTATCTAGACCTTTAGGCCAAGTCTTGAGTACTTTTATTCGGTTTATTATAATTTCCCCTCTGTATTTTTGATGAATTTTTATATAGAGGCACGTAATAGGAATTATTTTTTAACATATCACTCAGGCGGCGAGAGGGATCTTGCACTGTCACTTGATTTTGCACTATGTCGCTAATTTCACTGACAAGAATCAATCTGTCGAACGAAAAGCACTCACATATAAATATGAAATGTTCAATATCACCAACAGAATTATTGCAACTGTCAGTAATGGGTTCGTTCATTGTATGGAGGGTAGAAGTAAGGAGCCTTAGTGTAGGATCTTAATGTACTTGAGGGAGTTCATATAGAGTCCCTTCTTTATTTCGCCGTAAAGTCGTGTTTTATGTAATTAACACCACAGTTGAAACAATAGACATTTTATTGTTGTAGCTGCATAAACAATTCTAGGTTATTATATTATATTAGTCATTAAACACATTATAAACTGTTTTTACGTTTTAAATTTTCGGCGGTAAAAGGTCCCGTGACACAGACTATATTCTTATTCCCACCTCTCGCGCGTTCCGGCTTACGCATTATAAAAAGGTGCGTTCTTAAACGCCACATACTAAAAAGTGTCAGCTGGAAAGGTGCCAATGAAATGTGCGCCATGATAGCAAGCCATAAACTACCACGTTTCACTTAAATCCGGCACACTTCACTCTGCTTAAAACTGCTATATTCATTTCCACTTCCTACCACTACCACTAAGTATTACGGAAAGTCGTCCAACAATAACTTGCTGTTTAGAGGTGATCACTTTTCCTACTCGTCCCCTATACAAGATAATCCTCCTTTCCTCTACCCTCTATAGTTCGTTGATAGAGTCTATTTTTCCCTTGGAAGGTCGCATGCGTCAGTCGTGCGCAGTGATTTCCAAAAAAGATTTTGGACGTTAACAGCAAACACGGGAATTTCAATATCTGAATCCGCGGCGTCTATTTTTAGGTAATTAGACTAAAAACAGTACCATCTAATCTGCTCCTGTTGGTGTGGAACACGAGTAAGAGATTCATCAGATAATGACCAACAACGATCTTTCAGTATTATATCAAGACGCTGCGATTACCAACCGACCTTGGCAGGACCTGGTTGGACTTTGGTGCCATCTTAGTAGCTGGTAGCTATCGTATCCTACCCATTTCTGGCACAACTCAAAAGAATAGAAGAAACGCAGATGATACTTTTAATTATTCACAACAACATCCGAACTACAAACATTGGACGATTAATAAGACTGGTTAATTTAAGACTGGAGTACTTTGGGAATGTTCTTTCCAATCCACCTAATGTCGTTTTAACCGTGCTGCATTTGGAATTGACCGGGGCAAAAAGATTGTCCTGTGATAATTTGAAGCAAGTGGAGACTCACCCAAAAAGGCACCAGGCCCTTTTCTTTGTCAGCAACGATGGCTTCCTCCAGCTTAGCACCTCGCATGCTCTGCCCTTCATCAGACTCGATATACCTCATCCGAACCAAGCCTGAGAGAGAAAAAAACGTTAGAATTGCTTCATAAATGTCTCCATCCAATTTATTTTATTAATATTTTTTACATGAGTGTTTTCTATATAGAATTCTCTACGTCAAAACTACTATATTGCTCTACTTTTTGCATCAGAAAAAGATAATTACGTTATAATTCAGATAGATCGTTGAATAAGGACTCACCAATTAACCCGGCCTTCTCGACAGAAGAATGCGCCTGATCCGAACAGTAGCAGATGAGATGTCCCAACAGCTCTGCCGCTTGGAGCTCTGGATTGAGCTTGGAAAGCTCCATCAAAGCCCTGGTGCGAGCTGCCAGCAGACTGACCAGAGTCGCTTCACTTGCCGTAGTCTGTTTGAATGGACCAAAGTCTCACATCGTAAAAAACTTTTTCAACCCATCTAGACTTTTTTTTTTTTTGTCAGGAGGAAATCATCGGACTTCCATCCTCCACAGTGGATGGGGGTGGGGCATTTCGGAGTCGAACCGATCGATCGGTTTTAGTAGTCGTCGTGGCCTAATGGATAAGACGTCTGGTGCATAAGTGTTGAGGCGATGCACCGATGTTCGAATCTCAGGCGGGTACCAATTTTTGTAATGAAATACGTACTCAACAATTGTTCACGATTGACTTCCACGGTGAAGGAATAACATCGTGTAATAAAAATCAAACCCGCAAAATTATAATTTGCGTAATTACTGGTGGTAGGACCTCTTGTGAGTCCGCAAGGGTAGGTAACACCACGTTGCCTATTTCTGCCATGAAGCAGTAATGAGTTTCGGTTTGAAGGGTGGGGCAGCCGATGTAACTATACTGATATCTTAGAACTTATATCTGTGGGCTCCAGTAACCACATAACACCAGATGAGCTGTAAGCTCGTCCACCCTTCTAAGCAATAAAAAATAAATAAACAAAAAACTGATTTAATGTTCCACGCGGCATTGCTACCGGCAATCGAATCCATGGACGTCGCAAAATGAATACCACCACTAAATTTCTAAGAAACATACCTGGATAACTCCGCCGCCCGGGCTATCGTTCTTCTCATTTAAGAAGCACTCCGGCAATGCCAGGAGTTTGCCCAGCCAGTTCATCGCTATAGTCTCCAATTCAGTACCGGCCGGCGAAGATGCCTAGTGTATTTTAATCAAAAGCATATCCTTTTAAACTTTTGAAGTATAAAAAATAATAGTTTAAAAAAAACTAAAAAAATACGCTTTTATAATCCGAAAATCCAACGAAAATAAATTTTAATAAATTTGAATTAAAAATAGTGTAAGAAAAAATGTTTTGATGTATTTTCTATTTTTTAGTTTATTGGATTTTCTATAAAAGCGTAATAAAAGCGTATTTTGTTAGTTTTTTTAAACTGTTATTTATTTTTAATTTTTTTGTTGAACATCATTATTATTATTATTTTTTTAAATATTCAATTGTTTTCGATCCTTAATAAGTATTCCAAATTTCGAGTTAATCCGACGTTTTGAAGGGGGTCAAAATCATGTTCAAAGATTCTGTTACATACTAACATACATACGTGTGAAACTAATAAAAGCGTATTAAAAAAATGTGGTCAAACAGACCTCAGCAATAGACATCGGTCTTTTCAAGAGCACAATTCACTGCCTTTTTCAAATAAATCCATAATTAAAACTTGGTTAGCAGAACAATATGCATAACGCTGCCAATCACTCCAGGCCAAGATGCACCCTCTAATTCCATGTAGTCAGAATCATGTCTGCCCTGGTACTTTAATGTGTAAAGAAAAATAATCTTCTCCATAATTCAACTTGCTCAACGTTTTTCACTTATGTTCCTTTCCTAATATAGTGGGTAGTGTAGAACACAAGATATTTGATAGGTTCCTTAATCTCGCTATCGAATTTTTCGAAAGATTTTTGGAATTTTTGGAAGACATTGCAACTATCGGTCTACCAAGCGACTTCGTCAATAAGGAAAGACCTTCGCTTTCACGTGAAGCTCCAAACATAATTAATTCTGCCTAGGTTAAACTTAGCTAGACATCCGAAAAAGGCTCTCTTCCATCTGCCGGGAACGTGATATGAGCTTCTTCGGACACATCATGTGGTCTCCCACACATGAATTAGAGAAGCTCATAATTACGGGTCGCATAGAGGGCAAGCGCGCCGTGGGCAGAACACCAGCCACATGGTCAGATCTAGCAAGAGAAGCACTTGGTGGTAGTCTGTACCATGCAGTTCATACCACCCATGATCGAGCACATTGGAAGTATGTCGCATGTGGTCGCGATCCTGAGTATTGAGGGAACGATATAGAAGAAGAAGGTTAAACTTACCCAGGTAAAGCAGAGGACGTTAAGAGCGCTCGATAACATGTCCCCCATAATTGAAGGATATGACGTCAGAGCCGGAAAGTACGCATGCATGTGCGGACTCTGCCAATGGACCAGCTGTGTGAAAGACAATAAAAGTTGACATGGCAATTGCTTAAAGTTGCGAATTGACAAAGCTCAATGTTGATTCTGGCGGGTACCGATTTTTCTAATGACTTCCACGGTGAAAAAATAACATCGTGTAATAAAAATCAAACCCGCAAAATTATAATTTGCGTAATTACTGGTGGTAGGACCTCTTGTGAGTCCGCTAGGGTAGGTACCACCACCTTGTCTATTTCTGCCGTAAATCAGTAATTGGCGCATTTACGTTGTAGATGTCTATGGGCTCCGGTAACCACTTAACGCCAGGTGGGCGGTAAGCTCGTCCACCCATCTAAGCAATAAAAACTCACCCCGGGCATGATGTGTTGGTCTACGTCTTTGAAAATATCATCCCACTTCTCGGGTTTTTCTGGAGCTTCGGTCGGCAACAGCTTGTGGAGGTAGCCAGGCTGGACCCCCGGGTAGACGCGGCGGTCCCTGATGTTCTCCAAATAGTCCGCAATGTAGTCCACCATCTCTTTTGCTGTACAGGAACGGTATAACGAAAATCACCAGATATTTTTTCCATTGAATAAATAAATCACACACGATCATTTGGCCAGGGCCGGATTTAAACTTAATGCCGCTCCTGGGCACCGGAAAAAAATCCGCCCCAATACCGGAATTTTAGCTAAACTTAAAGCTTATATATTTTATTTTTCAAAATTAAAATAACTAATTTATTGCGGAAACATTATCATAAGTCATATATTCCAAAAACATAAATGAATATTCGTTAATAAATTTTGCCTAAAGGTTATTATATGTCTTAATTATTATAATGCAACAAAAAAAAAAAAAACTAATTAAATTTCTTTAATTACAAAAAATAGAAAAATTGATTATTATTTTAAATCTCCAAGGAAATAAATTGATTAAATCATTTTGTAGCATAAAGTGACAAAATTATAATTCACAAATAATGGATGAAATAAATTTCTTGAATTATCAATTAAAAAGAAAATTATTAATTATTAGAATTAATTAATTATATAGGGCAATCTTGATAAGATTAAAAAAATATTTTTACTTTCAAAAATTTGCGGCCCTGGGCACTCGCCGCGATTGCTTTTAGTGTAAATCCACCACTGCATTTGGCTCTATAGTCGTATTTTTAACATAGACCTAAGGTTTCCTACTTCATTGGTTGACTTCGTCTAATAAAAAATCCGACTATAAACTAGGATTTCCTGAACTGATACTGAGACACTGATAAACATTCAAATCACACATTTTTTTAATAGATTGGATAACTTACTAAAAAATACTTGGAGATTATTAATACCGAATTGTTTCGCCACCATAACACACCAATAGTTTTGATCACAATTACACCATATTAGGAATTTCTTGAGTAGGACATCTTGGATATATATTCATCTCTTTCCTACATTAGATCAAATGGAACTTACGGCCTTTACACGACAGAGAAAGGTTTAGGTTTTCTTAGCTGCATCACAAGGGAGAAATGGAATAGAATTATTGAACCTCATTTGACACTTAGGATGTTAAAACTATGAACACAAAAAATTCCTGCACGATTTTTTAACTGGCAACAAAATGCGTAAAAACAAACTAAAATTCATTAAGCAACAAGAATCTGACCAAGAATTAGATTTTGCGGTAACTTAGAATATTTTATGATATAAATAGTAGTAAAATAGGTAGGAATAGAAGAAGAGCTTCAAGACTGTGCTACTTTCGTAATAAGTACTCATAATCATACTATGATTCGAGAATAGAAGAATACGTCTTCTGCGAGGTTCTCGAACATACATTTTCATGGCTATCAACAGCTGATCAGCATACCATCTGATGTTAAGTGGTTACCGTTAGCCATCCCGCTACGTCAGGGTAGTTAGGCAGCAATGCTATAGCTGGTGATGAAATAAATAAAAAATAAATTTGAATTAAAAATAGTGTAAGAAAAAATTATTTTATTGTAAAAAAGCGTAGGGTGCCTTTCAGGATTAATATCCTAAAATAACCCTGTTACTCTCATACCTGTTCATAAAATATTTATAACTACTGATACCATGCACCCCACGCTTTTTTTACAATAAAATCATTTGTCTTACACTATTTTTAAATTCATATTTATTAAAATTTATTTTCCATTTTTTAGTTGGATTTTCTATAAAAGCGTATTTTGTTAGTTTTTTTTAAACTATTATTTATTTTTCATTGTTTAGTTGTATTTCAATTTTTTAATTTTTTTTAAATACTTTATTATCATCGGTTCTTAATAGGTATACCAAATTTAGCGTTAATCCGACGTTTGGAAGGGGGTCAAAACCATGTTCAAAGATTCCGTTATATACTAACATACATACGTCTGAAGCTAATAAAAGCGTATTACCAAGGAAACACAGGTTGTAAAATTGTAGACCCAGATATCAATTTATCCATTAGGCCCAGATCTTTCGGACCTTAATTAACGGGAATAGAGTCGATAATACGACAGATCTAATTAAGTGATACCACAGTTCTATGATTACGCTGGTCAGGTATGTAGCTGATTTTGATTGATTCAGAGATAAAATTAACCAATGCTCATTTATTATAGCCTATTCCCAGAACCGTAAGGGAGGTATAAACGTCCATTTCAACAGCTATGAATCATTAGCTAAAGTGTGAAAGGTCCAATAGTGTTATGCAAATGTCACATCGACCTCATGTCTAGCTGCATAGACGCTTTGCTGTCCATGGGCTACTGTAATGTAGGCACAGCTTCATAAGAACCATAATAAAGTTTTAAGACGGCTTAAAATAATGTTTTTTTTTTTATTATTAGATCGAAATTATCGACAAAACCTTAAAAAATATCACTTTATCGTAATTTCGATTGTATTTTTTATTTATTTCTTAGTTGGACGAGGACCAGCTCACGGCCTACCTGGTGTTAAGTGGTTACCGGAACCCATAGACATCTACAACGTAAATACTGCCACCCACTTTGAGATATAAGATCTAAGGTCTCAATTTTTTTTTAGAGGCTACCCCACCCTTCGAATCGAAACGCATTACTGCTTCATGGCAGAAATAGGCAGGGCGGTGGTACCTACCCGTGCGGACTCACAAGACCGCTAGTAAAGTTAGAATATGGTGTATAAATTAACTCGTATTAATTTATTTATCGCTACTGTAAAATTAACTAAACAGAAAGAGTATAGTTAAATTCTCGAAGGTGACTTGTAGATGGAGTAAATTACGCTACTGTAAAATTAACTAAACAGAAAGAGTATAGTTAAATTCTCGAAGGTGACTTGTAGATGGAGTAAATTACGCTACTGTAAAATTAACTAAACAGAAAGAGTATAGTTAAATTCTCGAAGGTGACTTGTAGATGGAGTAAATTACGCTACTGTAAAATTAACTAAACAGAAAGAGTATAGTTAAATTCTCGAAGGTGACTTGTAGATGGAGTAAATTACGCTACTGTAAAATTAACTAAACAGAAAGAGTATAGTTAAATTCTCGAAGGTGATGGAGTAAATTTATAATTAAAAAAACTGAAACGAACTTAACATGGATAGTAAAGTTATTATAAATAATAACGTTAGATGGCTTGTTAATTTCGCCACCTTTTGACAACAGGTCGAAATATCAATTGCACAACAGCTGCCCCACCGTCCAAATCGGAAGGCGTGACTGCTTCGCGGCAGGAATAGGCAGGACTTCGCTACCTACCCGAGCTGGTGAACAAGTACCTTCCACAATCGGGTCATGTGGTTTATAGCACCACGCAGCAATTCTCTAAATTCGATTTGTATCGATTTTCCAATCGATTTTCGTATCTGACTAACAGTTAAGACAGAAAAAACAGTCGTCCAACACACTCCTTTCTTATCGAGTGTAACGAATCTATTTTCTAGCTTCTTTGTGTTTAAGAGCGGAGTCGGCTTTGTATCAAACACTTCATGCGAATCGATTCTCGAACTCATCAGCGATTGTAATTGAAAACTTTTAAAAAAAAAGTCTTATCCACATACTCGTTTCATTGTTTGTTTTGCGCGGAAAATAAATTACAATGATATGTAATATATGTGTGTACATATGTTTTTTTCTACGGAAACTTCAGACTATATAGTTCCGCATTAACGAATTTACAAAAGTGACTTTATATATTTAGTGTAACTAGAGGTCCCGCAGTAGTCGAAATTCGACTATAATTAATTGGAATTGTAAGTTTGTACACTATTATGATTATATTTTATATACTTCTATAATCACAAATTTCGCCAAGACTACACTATAAAAAATATTAAGAAAGACAAACAATATTTAATCTATTCTCAATTTGACAACAGACGTCAAGAACAAAAGTTTGACAATAAATAGTATGCATGCGTGTGTGCGTCAAATATATGGTATGTAGTGTGTGTAATGTTTTCTTAATTGATTTAATGTATCTTTTATGCATTATGCACTTCTTCTCTATATTCTTTATAAGTGTGGAAAATTTCATACTCCTCCGTCCGCGCAATTTTCGTAAAAAGGGCTACAAAGTTTTTGCTTCACGTATTAATATATAGATTATTTTGCAAATCGAACCGAATGAAAATGTAAATCCGTATTAAGAGATGACATGATTTTTTTTATTGTGATAATGTGCCTATAAAACAAAATTGTATAGTAATAAAGAAGTAAATATTTTATTTAATCGCAAAACTCCATGTATTTTGTATAAAGTTATTGAAGAGTTTCTTCCAGAAAACCGCGAAAACACCGCTTAAACGGTTAAAAAAGGAACCACAAATAGTAATGAAAGTAAAAAAAAGATATTTAAAGTCCAAATAAATACTCGTAATTATATTATAATAACTATTAAAATAGGTATGTAGATTTATCATTTTAAAAAGATAGAAGCAGGCACCAGAATTTGAATCGAATGGGCTAAAGAATAAGATGCCCGGTATACTCGTATCGAACGATGTGACTGTGTCCCGGTTCAAACACCGCAGCCCGATAACATTTTTTGTAAAAAAATCTGTCCTAAGACATATTCACTAAAGACCATTATGTCATCTATGTGAACTACAAGTCCATTCATAATAATATAGTAGATTTGCGAAAGAAAATAATAATAATTGTAAATAGACATGCTTTAACAAAAACCGACTTCAAATAGAAAAAATAAAAAAGATATTTCAAAACAAATTACTATACACTAAAAACAATAATCATCGAAATCGGTTGGCGTGATATTGAGTTATTGAGTTATTCATCTATTTGTCGCGCACGTAATTAATGCAAATTTAAGACTTATGTGTTTTTCTCATGGATACCATTATCAGAACTGGACTAAATTGTAATGGGACTACAGCTTTCTAATAAAAAAAGAATCATCAAAATCGATTTACTCATTCAAAAGTTATCAGGTAACAAACATATAAAAAAAAACATAGAGTCGAATTGAAAACCTCCTCTTTTTTTGAAGTCAGTTAAAAAAAAAGCGAACGTATTCTTTTATTAAATCGAAACCCATCTTTCAAAGGTCGCAAAGTCCGCAAATAGGATGAAATGGGCGATCGCGTGAACGTCTCAACAAAACAATATAGAATGGGACATTTGTTTCATTGTCGGTAATACGAATTTATGACACAATAATATGCTAAACACACATACACATGTAAGCGTCTCCGACGTCTCAGTTAAGCCGGGCCGATGTATGTCTTATTAGAGTCCGTTTTATCCAATAGGAGATTTGTTAGACATTGTCGTATTAGACGCGATATTGCTGACTGAAACACGTCATCTCGGATCCTCCCGATCCACTAACGGTGCTTTTAGGTACTTCAAGCACCGGTCACCGTTCTCGTCGAACCCGTCGCTTGCGACGAAGGGCTCGACGAGTAAATTAACTCTCAGACACAGCCCATTGAGTTTCTCGCCGGATCTTCTCAGCGGGTCGCGTTTCCGATCCGGTGGTAGATTCTGCGAAGCACGGCTCTTGCTAGGGTTCGTGTTAGCATCGTCGTCAGGTTTGAGCCCCGTGAGCTCACCTACCAGCCACGGTTACGCTGGAATAGCCGCTCCGGGCTACCAGCTTAGGTAGGAAAAAAAAAAGCTGACTAAATATCGCCTTACTAAGCGTCGTTACAACCCTAATTCAAAAAAAATTTCTATAGTGTTTGGAATTAAAGATTAGAGCTGATATTGCTCGGTAGACCGACGGTCCAAATGTTGTTGTTCGGAACTTTACGGTGCTTTTAGGTACCAAAACCGGTCACCGTCTTCGCCGAACCCGTCGCTTGCGACGAAGGGCTCGGCGAGTAAATTAACCCATAGACACAGCCCACTGAGTTTCTCGCCGGATCTTTCAGTGGGTCGCGTTTCCGATCCGGTGGTACATTCTGCGAAGCACTGCTCTAACTAGGGCCAATGTTAGCAACGCTTCCGGTTTGAGCCCCGTGAGCTCACCTACACGTCAAGGCGAAGCTGAATTAAACTCTTAAGACTATCAGCATAGGTAGGGAAAAAAACCACTGCTTTCATTCACAGTGCGCTTCCAAAGATCCTTTTTACCACGTTTTCAGCGGTTCTAGTTAGTATGAATGAGAACCCTAGGCTGTGCTACAGTAAAAACTTTATTTGTACAGGTACAGAAAAAGTAACTTTAGTCCGCGCGGGTAGGTACCACCGCGCTGCCTATTTCTGCCGTGAAGCAGTAATGCGTTTCGGTTTGAAGGATGCGGCAGCCGTTGTAACTATACTCGAGACCTTAGAACTTATATCTCAAGGTGGGTGGCTTATTTACGTTGTATATGTCTATGGGCTCCAGTAACCACTTAACACCAGGTGGGTTGTGAGCTCGTCCACCCATCTAAGCAATAAAAACAAAACAAAAAAAGTGTGTGTGTCCGCTCCGACGCACGACTGGAGTTTACTGGATATAAATATAAATTTGTGTCAGTTGAATACAGTAAAATATGGAAGTTACGTATTCTAGTGAGAATGATCCGGGAGTTGCGGAACACGTGGATGCGGTAATTAAGTAAGTCTATATAATTCACTTTTACAATTAATATATAAGTTGTCCATTCACTGATAGAAGGAATTGTTTATATTTAATAAGCTTTATTAATAAATGATTTGTAGCGGGTTATATTCGGGTATCAACCCACTAACAGTTGATACGTTCAGGAATCGAACCCGAACGGCGTCCGGCCACAAGCAAAACGATGTCGGTAAATTAAACGAAACAATACGAGAAATAGTTCTATATTACGACAACACGATACACTACAGATTATTAACAAATTAACGAGACACAAAACAAACGACTAACAAATATATGAAAATACAATAATGAGAGAAACGCGCGATCAGTACGAGGCTTTGTGGCGGACTGCCGGCGCAGCAGCCCGGCGTCACCTGCGATAACGCGGCCGCGCGTTGGCTCCTGATTGGCGCGCGCACGCATCACGCAATCAGGAGCCAATCAGGCGCATAACGCATTTCGTGTGACATGCTATACTCTCTAGTACGATTTTGGTCCCCATAATTTTCATACCCCGGGCCTATATATGTAAATCGATTCTTAAGGAGTAAACTCCAAAAAGAAGTAAAGATTCAAAAAAAACAGTGCACCAGTTTGAACACCCTCTAACTTTCAGACAATCCGCACGTCATTGAACATACTGTTAACTGTAAGGTCAACAACAAAACCAGACAAGACAACATCTATTTAACTCAATAATTAATTAATTTAATATTCTATCAACGTCCGAATCAGAGCTTGTCTAACTTGATGCATAAAGAAATAATTGTTCGAAAATCACTATGTACTACGTCTAGATTATTTGCAATGGCGTTATTAAATAGGATATCTTGTTTTTTCGTGATTGAGGTCAATTGATCTATGTAGGGCACAAATAATTACAGCCTCAAATGCACGCTTGAGAGGGTCAATCAAAATTTCTGGACAATTTAAAGAGTAATAATTGTAAATAGACATGTTTTAACGAAAACCGACTTGAAATAGAAAAAAAAGATATTCCAAAACAAATTAATATACACTAAAAACAATAATCATCGAAATCGGTTGGCGTGATATTGAGTTATTGAGTTATTCATCTGTTTGTCGCGCACGTACTTAATGTCAATTTAAGACTTATATGGTTTTCTCATGGATTCCATTATCAGAACTGGACTTAATTATAATGGGACCACACGGGAAGCGTCAGCTTTCTAATAAAAAAAGAATCATCAAAATCGATTCACCCAGACAAAAGTTATGAGGTAACAAACTTTAAAAAAAACACATTAGAATTGGGAACCTCCTCCTTTTTTGGAGTCGGTTAATAAACAAAAAATATTTCAATTAAAAGGTACGTTGCGCCTTGATCCCGAATTTATAAAAAAAAATCGATAACATTACATTTTTGATAAATATCACGAGCTCCGAAAATACTTAATTAAAATTAAATATATACATAGTATATATGTAGTTTAAAAACGATAAGAATTCATGTTTCATCGTCAAACCGAAGTAACAATAAATTTTATATATTTTTTTTTATACCGTTGCTACAGGGCAGCGCATGAGAATGAAGGATATTAAATTAAATTAATATTACATTATATTGTCATCCTTAATGTGTGTGGAATGTTCAAATTCATAAACTGATGGTAGAGAATCCTGTGAGCCAGCAGTGGTAGGTACCACCTTCCTGCATATTTCTGCCGTGAAGCAGTAATGCGTTTCGGTTTGAAGAGTGGAGCAGCCGTTGTTACTATACTGAGATCTTAGAACTTATATCTCAAGGTGGGTGGCGCATTTACGTTGTAGATGTCCATGGGCTCCAGTAACCACTTAACACCAGGTGAGCTGTGAGCTCGTCCACCCATCTAAGCAATAAAAAAATGAAAAATAAATTTCTTTTTTTTCCTACCTTTGCTGATAGCCTTGAGATGCTATTTTAGCTTCACCCTAACGTCTAGGTGAGCTCACGGGGCTCAAACCAGAGGTGTTCCTAACACTGCCCCTAGCAAAAGCAGTGCTTCGTAGAATCTACCACCGGATCGGAAACGCGACCCACCGAGATGATCCGGCCAGAAACTCAGTGGGCTGTGTATATGGGTTAATTCGCTCGTCGAACCCGTCGCAAGGGTTCGACGAAGACGGTGACCGGTGCTTGAGGTACCTAAAAGCACCGTTAGTGGATCGGGAGGAGCTTTATGACAAGCTAAATAGTATTTAAAACAGTGGTTCCGACTTACCTTTCACACGGAATTCGGTGTGGTCCATTTTCCAAATTACAATTAACCTGCGAACAAAATATAAAATAAATTAGTAATATTATATCTCGCTATTGTATAAATTTGTATAGTTAAGAACACGCCGGAGTTCTCAGGAAACACCGTAATGGCCATTCTGGTTGGTAATTAGCAAAAATGATATTTGAAAACGTGGATAATCGCAACCGCAATGACCCAAGTTAATATGTCGCAGATGACGCAGTCCCACGAGATGCTTAGATCAAATCTTGTTTGGACATCAAGCTCCACGACTTTGTCCACGAGGCCAAGAATCACAGCAGATAGAGAGCAATTGTACATGAGAAATAATGCAGTGGGGGAGTCACGACTCTCAATTAAGAGAAGACCGGGTCTGCGGAGGTATTTCGGTTACCTCTGTATTTTGTACCGTATGTTCCATGGGATTGCTATATATTGCTGATACTATCATCTCGTTTTTACCATCGCACCGCCCGCCACCGGAGTAGAGCTTATCCATATTACTTGGAGCCACTGCGATCATCTACAGTGCGTTTCCAGAGGCCTTTTTGCCACGTACCATCCGGCTATGGAATGAGCTCCCCTCCGCGGTGTTTCCCGAACGCTATGACATGTCCTTCTTCAAACGTGGCTTGTGGAGAGTAATAAGCGGTAGGCAGCGGCTTGGCCCTGCCCCTGGCATTGCTGAAGTTCATGCGCGACGGTAACTACTCACCATCAGGTGGGCCGTACGCTCGTCTGTCTACCAGGCCAATAAATAAAAAAGAGCGATGCAAGGAGGATTATGTAAAGCATCTTCTTAGAAGCGAAGGATTACACGACTCTACAAAAAAAAATTCGTTCTTTGTCCTAACGTTTATATACTAGGTTTTTCCGGTTAATTATTCACAAAAACGAAAATAAAATACCTTTTTTGGTATAAATTTTGCTTTTGTGATAGTTATAGTAATAATACTCATTTTTTTTTTATTTTATAAATTTTAATTAATTTTAATACTTTCAAAAAAACCTCGCTATGAGAGGGGTGTTGACGTTTCCACAGTGCCACTAGATGGCACTCGAGTCATAAACAACGATCAGGTGTTTTGTACAAGCCCAGAAAAACTTAAGATGTCACGAAAGTGTAAATACGATGCTGATGCATTTTCTTTCATATGTGGTCAATTTATTAAAGTTCAAAAGCAAACTATTTCATGCCATGTATATTTTTTTTCGTCTAAAATATCGATATTTTATGCTTTGCAATCAAAGTCTAATTTGGTGTTGACCCGTGTTATTTACCAAACAAAAACACCGGACAAAACCCCCGGAAGCTCCATACCGCGACAGATCGGATCTATGGTCAGCGTTCAGTAATGCAAGAAAAGGGAACCCCGAATTCCTTGGCGATGCTAATCAGCATCAAAATTGTTTTTCCAATCACTTATACCCGAACCAAAAACTTATTGAAACCAAAATAACCAAAATCTTCTTCTTCTTCACCTTATCAGCCACAGTCCACTGCTCGACATAGGCCTCCCCCAAGCCTCGCCACAAAGACCGGTCTTACGCTGTCTGCATCCAGCGGATCCTCGCAAACCTCAATATATCGTCGGTCTATTTTTTCCATCTCATTTTTCAATACAAAGCAATTAATGTTTTATTGAAAGCCCGCGTACCTTGCGCGTTTGTTTTAATACATTGCGTATTATTCATGAGTATTAATCGGAGATGGCAATACTGCTATAATAATACAATTGAAACATGGACCTATTAGCTCCGGTGTTAGCCAGACGGTTGCCCAAACGATTGGCCAAAAATCATATTTACTGAACTATAGTGATGTTGGTGTAATCAATCACAGAAAAGAAACGTTATTTACTTTACGCTTATTTACAGTTTCAGACGAGATTATATTTACTTTATACCGGTGGTAGGAGCTCTTGTGAGTCCGCGCGGGTAGGTACCACCACCCTGCCTATTTCAGCCGTGAAGCAGTAATGCGTTTCGTTTTAAAGGGTGGAGCAGCCGTTGTGACTATACTTGAGACCTTAGGACTTATATCTCAAGATGGGTGGCGCATTTACGTTGTAGATGTCTACGGGCTCCAGTAGCCACTTAACACCAGGTGGGCTGTGAGCTCGTCCACCCATCTGGAGTCATGGCCTATTCAATGCTCAGAGGCTATCGGAGCCGGGCGTCTTATCCATTAAGCCGCGACGACTTCGGGTGATGTTCGAGTAATATTTCATATTTAATATTAAGCTGACTTCTTTATGAGTTAGTCTTTTTTCCGACGCCACTTCGAAACAGAAGACCGATAAATAAGTATTTAGCGAATTTTTATATATTAATACGTGAAGCAAAAACTTTGTATCCCTTTTTACGAAAATTGCGCGGACGGAGGAGTATGAAATTTTCCACACTTATAGAGAATATAGAGAAGAAGTGCACAATGCAAATACTTTTTTTTAAATAATGCATAAAAGATACATTAAATCAATAAAGAAAACATTACACACACTACATACCGTGTATTTGACGCACACACGTATGCATACTATTTATTGTCAAACTTTTGTTCTTGACGTCTGTTGTCAAATTGAGAATAGATTAAATATGGTTTGTCTTTGTTAATATTTTTTATAGTGTAATCTTGGCGAAATTTGTGATTATAGAAGTATAAAATACAATCATAATAGTGTACAAACTTACAATTCCAATTAATTATAGTCGAATTTCGACTACTGCGGGGCCTCTAGTACTAATAATTTCTTGTTCTATTTCTTCCCTTATCCTGCTGTGGGTGAAACAATCATACGTCATTTCACCCTTCCCTCCAATATCCTCTCGAGCTCAAACAAGTATTTTTAATCTCATAAGCTTCTTCCTAGTCGTACACTATTGACAGAGTGGTCGTGGTCACGCATCACTTATCAGAGCTATCATCAAGTATATACTTCTCATAAGCATATACTTTTATTGCCCTTGTATGCAGACGAGCATACGGCCCACCTGATGGTGAGTGGTTACCGTTGCCCATGGACTTCAGCAATGCCAGGGCCAGAGCCAAGGCGCTGCCTACCGCTTAATACTCTCTACAAGCCTCTTTTGAAGAAAGACATGTCGTAGCGCTCGGGAAAAACCCTGGAGGGGAGCTCATTCCAAAGCCGGATGGTACGTGGCAAAAAAGACCTCTGGAAACGCACTGTCGATGAACACAGTGGTTCCAGGTAATATGGATGAACTCTGCTCCGATAGCGGGAGGTGCGATGATAAAAAGGAGATGAAGGGATCATCTCAAGCAATTCCTCAGAGCATTCCCCATGAAACATACGATACAAAATACAGAGGGAACCGAAGCCCTCCGCAGACCCAGAGGTTCCAAACGCTCCGTGAGAATGGGATTATCAACAATCCGAACGGCCCTCTTCTGTATGGAGTCTAATGAAAGAAGCTGTTATTTGGGAGCCCCGGCCCAGAGATGGGAGCAGTACTCCACGCGAGGCTGGTCTTTGTAAAGCAAAAGTCTTTGTTTATATTCATTTAATATAATTTCAGTGAATTAAATTCGCAATATACATTATAAAATAATCATCTTATATAAGATTTGGTAACTAGTTCAAGTACATACGACTGAATTAGATAATGAGGTCAAGATTAAAATTCATAATGTGTATTCCTTCTGTTGTTATGTAAATAATATTTATAATTATTTTTTTATTGATAGCACTAAATCTTCAGCAGATAGTGAGAGAAAGAAAGAAAATAAAAAAAATGTTCCAGTTGTTTATCAGTTTTGATTGAATTAGTTAAGGCATACGACCCACCTGATGTTAAATAGCACAGCCAAACTAACTGCCTACTGCCTAGTACTCTCCGCAAACCTTCGGAGAAGAACATGTCCTTCTGAAAATATCGTAGAGGGGAGATAATTCCAGAGCCCGATGGTACGTGGCGAAAGAAATCCCTGCAAATACCCTGAGATATGCCTGAAATAGCATCTCAAGGCTATCAGCATAGGTAGGGAGAAAAAAAAGGGATATGCCTCTGCCTATATATAGATTTTTTTATTGCTTAGATGGGTGGACGAGCTCACAGCCCACCTGATGTTAAATGATTACTTGAGCCCATAGACATCTACGACGTAAATGCGCCACCCACCTTGAGATGTAAGTCCTAAGGTCTCAAGTATAGTTACAGCGGCTGCCCCACCCTTCAAACCGAAACGCATTACTGCTTCACCGCAGAAATCGGTAGGGTGGTGGTACCTATAAAAAATATTAACAAAGACAAACAATATTTAATCTATTCTCAATTTGACAACAGACGTCAAGAACAAAAGTTTGACAATAAATAGTATGCATGCGTGTGTGCGTCAAATACATGGTATGTAGTGTGTGTAATGTTTTCTTCATTGATTTAACGTATCTTTTACGCGTTATTTAAAAAAAATATTAACATCGTGCACTTCTTCTCTATATTCTCTATAAGTGTGGGAAATTTCATACTCCTCCGTCCGCGCAATTCTCGTAAAAAAGGATACAAAGTTTTATGCTTCACGTATTAATATATAGATTATCGAATTGAAAGCTATCTAAACTGACAAACGATAGCGTGTTATAATGTTACACGTATGTACCTACGTACGTACTACGAAGCGTTTCAAAGGTTTCGTAAACTCGCTCAAGCTTAGCGGATTAAAGAATTACGTTCGTTTTGTTCACTTAAAAACCTTCTCGTCGAATACGTAGAAGAGTTCGACATGGAAACTAACCCATAGACGCAACCCGGTCAGTTTCTCCCCGGATCTTCTTAGTGGATCGCGATTCAGATCCGGTGGTAGATTCAACAAAGCACTGCTCAAGGTCAGAGTCAGGGTTTTTTCCCGACTGGTAGCTTAAAGGACTATTTCAAAACTCGCGAGCTCAACCTGAGATAATTTGCTAACAATAGCCTTAGCAAGATCCTAAAAAGAGCAGTGAGTCAATCTGAGATAATTTGCTAACACTAGCCTTAGCAAGACCCTAACAAGAGCAGTGAGACAACCTGAGAGAATTTGCTAACAATAGCCTTAGCAAGACCCTAACAAGAGCAGTGAGTCAATCTGAGATAATTTGCTAACACTAGCCTTAGCAAGACCCTAACAAGAGCAGTGAGTCAATCTGAGATAATTTGCTAACACTAGCCTTACAAGGTCCTAACAAGAGCAGTGAGACAACCTGAGAGAATTTGCTAACACTAGCCTTAGCAAGACCCTAACAAGAGCAGTGAGTCAATCTGAGATAATTTGCTAACACTAGCCTTAGCAAGATCCTAACAAGAGCAGTGAGGCAACCTGAGCGAATTTGCTAACACTAGCCTTAGCAAGACCCTAACAAAAGCAGTGAGACAACCTGAGCGAATTTGCTAACACTAGCCTTAGCAAGACCCTAACAAGAGCAGTGAGTCAACCTGAGAGAATTTGCTAACACTGCCCTTAGCTGACCCTAACAGGAGCGGTGCTTCACAGAATCTACTACCGGCTCGGAATCGCAATCCACTTTGAAGATCCGGCGAGAAACACAGTGGGCAAAAACTGAGTGGACTAGTCAAATTCTCTGAGTTTCCGAGTGTGGCCTAGTATAGTCCATTAGGCTATACCAGTGACTAGCTAGCTTAAAAACTGAATTGCGAACTATTTTCCCGGTTTACTTTACAGAGTATGCGTTGACGTTTTCTCGCAGCAAAGTGGGAAGAATGTCTAGTATGCACACACGAAAATCTATACAAGCTTCCTAGTTTAAAGCTCAGCAATTGTTCTAGGAATCTAATTAAGACGACCGTCTGCAAATACTAAAACTGTATCCGAGAATAAACTGTAAATTTATAATTTTTTTATTAAAATACTGATTGCCCTATCCACCCGAAATGTGGTCGTGATGATATAACATCGTTTAAAAGTGTTTAGCTTGTGTTTTTATAAAGAAATCTCGATTGAAGGGATCGCCGGTTCGCCACGAAAAAGGTGAAAGGGCGAATTTTAAAGACTAAACTTTAGTTTTATTTAGAAGTTCTTTATTTATGTTCATTCAGTCTGATGTACCTTTGAGGTCTGAATGACGCAATTTTTGCGCTTTTTTTTTTTTGTTTATTAATCCGTAACTTTTGAAAATCTTAGCGTCTTATAATGGAACTAGCTTTTGCCCGCGACTCCGTCCGCGTGGAATAGTTACTTTGGCGTATATCTACATACCTATAGCATAAGCTCTCAAAAGGGAATAATACACCGATTTTTAAACATTCTTTATTGGTGCTCCGCTTGGTCCTATTGGTCTTATTGATTTTAGCGTGATGTTAGCCTATAGTCTATAGCCTTTTTCAATAAATGAGCTATCTGACACTGAAAGAATTTTTCAAATCGGACCTGTAGTTCCTGAGATTGAAGAAGAAGAAGAAGAAAATCTTTATTCGCCAGAAATATAGTTTACAAGATATTGTGGATATAGGACATAGTTTCATATATTGCGCCTGTTTAGGCATACGAAAATTTAAATTATTTTTATATTAATTCTAACACAAAATTTACTAAATCTATATATTTTTACATTCTATCACTTCTTATTCTAATAACGCGTTGAAACAAATAAACTCTTCAGCTTTATAATATTACTATAGATTTTAGTTGCATAGTTGCAAGAAGTTCTCTTGCCCGTCGTGCCAATAAGAATCAAGAAAATATTTAGTAACAGTATTATTTTTAATTGCCATTGCCACACATCTGTGACATGGCCAAGCCGCTCCATATCTTAATATTTTTATGCTTGTTTTATTCTTAATTTTTATTTACTGGTGGTAGGACATCTTGTGAGTCCGCGCCATTAAGTCCCACCGCTAAGGCTATTTCTGCCGTGAAGCAGTAATGCGTTTCGGTTTGAAGGGTGGGGCAGCCGTTGTAACTATACTGAGAACTTATATCTCAAGGTGGGTGGCGCTTTTACGTCGTAGGTGTCTATGGGCTCCAGTAACCACTTAACACCAGGTGGGCTGTGAGCTCGTCCACCCATCTAAGCAATGAAAATAAAAACTATGCAGGTCTTTGCAGATTCATCTATGCAGTTCAAAATTTGCCCGGGTTTCAGCTACTTTTGACCCTGGAATACTTGTTATATGTACCTATTTGGTATAATTTCCAGGATAGGAAAAATTTTACACGCTTTATATTAGCTTCACTTGTATGTATGTTTGTATGTTTGTAATTTAGTTAGGTTTGCAATAAAAGGCGCGCAATTTGCAATAAAATTGTTTGTTACAATCTAAATGCGTATTTTTTTTATTGCCCGTGTAGGCAGACGAGCATACGGCCCACCTGATGTTGAGTGGTTACCGTCGCCCATGGACTTCAGCAATGGCAGGGGCAGAGCCAAGCCGCTGCCTACCGTTAAGTACTCTCCGCAAGCCTCGTTTGAAGAAGGATATGTCATAGCGCTCGGGAACCATCGCGTTTATCCAGCAGGATAGCGCATACGATTTTCTTTAATTTTTATTAAACAGAATTAAATTAGAATTATCCGTTTAATTAAAATGAAAGAAACCTTAATAAGTAGACTTTAAAAGTAAATCTCAGAATAATTTTATTTAGTTAATAATAAAGTTTGGGGTTATTTTTTAATTCACCATAACTCATTTTAAATTTAGAGCACTCGTAATAAATGGTATAGCTTTTGAATAAATATTTTCATTATTTGATTGGTTTGTCCTTTGTTAGTTATTAAATTATTATCGAATTAAAGAATATAACAATAAGAAAACTAATTCCTAAAATTACGATTAATCTAAAATTGCTTCACGCAATTCTTTCTTCAAAACGTTTTAATTCTGTTTTTAATTGACACTATATAATACATATATACAAAAAAAATAAATAAATATATAAAGATTGATAATGTGGCGTTTTCTTTTTTCGACTAAATCTAACATACGCGACAATTACAAAATAAAAAATCCAAACTAAAACAACGCATTTTAGGTCAAGGTTACGTGATGACACCAGGAAATTTATATATTACTCACCGATATTTTTTTTTTTAAATTCACCAATTAATTTTAGGGGCTGCTCCGTCAACGATTCACTGGAGGAAGGGTGGCACGGAACTGTTGCAGCGAGAACCGAAGCCAAGCTTATATAGGGGGTTGGTTGTACACGCCGATCTATTTACCAGTCGCTCGATTTGTTTCGGGAGGCTGACACGTTACATAAGCGACAGCGGACGAATGAGCGAGGAGCGGGCTTAGATTTATTGGAACGAAGTTCCTTATCGCGCGTTGTGAAAGGGGGCTAGACGGAAAAAATTCTTACGAAAAGTTGTCACGACACTTTTTAGATCCGTCATTCCGACCAATCAACGTGTAGGCGCTTATCGCGTGACATTGCTCGTATCCGATTGGTCCGCGTAATGAGTACAGTTTCTCGAGATAGCGTTTCAACAATAGTAATTTAGTTCATAGTATTGTTTTTTTTTTCTTCATAATGCCGTAATTTATTATTATAACTTAAAAAAAAATTACAATTCCTTCACTAATTAATCGAAAGGAACTTCGTTCCATCCGGGTGTCCCTTGACACCTCTGAAGTTTTTTTCTTCACAACGTAACGATGATACTAAATAAAATAATTCGCGTAACAACTGATTTGGGCGTTGTGAGCCCAAAATGGTAGCTACCACTACTTTGCTCGGGACTCCGATGAGCTTGTGTAATGAAATCTTTCCAGCCAAATATCTTAAGTCTTTTTAAAAACGGATAGTTCTATGCTTTTTTTTAATGTTGAGTATTTTGAAGTAATCATTTTAGGCAATGTTGGTGACACAATTAGGCTGCTACCTATAGCTATACAGGATTTTCGGTCATGGTATCATTCCGACTACATTTTTATTATTACTATTTTCTAGTGTCTGGCTACCAAACGCAAAAGAATGTTTACAGATCATTAAATATTTATAAGACACTGGTTTTTCATTGACTAAGATTCACCTCAGTCATTTTTCAATCAGATATCCCATCCCTTCTCTTCCTGCAGGATTTCATAGCCAGTACCCTAATACCATAATGACATGCACTTTTAGCTGTCCTAATTAGCTAAGTTAGGCGAGGAACCAATGTCTTATCTAATTCTCAGCAGCGACTAGAACCGCAAACCAATTTAAATCACGACCTAATTAGTAAAATAACCGAATGTATAATCTTCATCATCATCATCATCAGCCTTTATTTGCCCACTGCTGGACATAGGCCTTCGCCAATGCCTTCCACATAATACGGTCCTCCGCCTTCCGCATCCAACGACTTCCCGCCGTGCGCACTAAGCCGTCGGTCCACTTGGTCGGAAGATGCCCCACGCTCCTGGTACCCATCCGTGGCCTCCATTCGAGGACTTTCCTCTCCCACCTGGCGTCGCTGGCTCGACAGATGTGACCGGCCCATTGCCACTTCAGCCTGCTAACTTTGAGAGCTAAGAATAAGGCCCATAAGTTAATAATGTATAATAATACTACCGAATATATCATGTATAAAAATAAATAATCGAATTTAAAAAAAACCGAATTTTGAATGACCTTTATAGAGTTTTTCAATCAAAGAACACGTCTTAATAGATTTTTTTTTAGAATGGAATATTAAATTTGGATTTCTTCTGATTACACCACATCTAAATAGCACATTAATTAATTTATTCTCACGATCAACGAGAAAATACTATCGCTTGAAGTTTTCTACGTGCGAAAAACTAAAATAAAATAACAAAGTTTGCTAAAATAACGAGAATAATAAATAAATAAATAATAATGAATATTTACTGACAACCACGCCACGTTAACTGGTCCCGTGGTAAGTTCGTAAAGAACTTGTGTTACAGGTACACCAGATAACGGAAATAAATGTAAGATTTTTATTATACACATACACATATTTAATATACATCCATAACACTGGAAAAGACATTTTATATTATTCATACAAAATATCTTCCCTTGGCGGGATTCGAACCCGCGACCACCTTGTGTAGTGACCATGTCACTTACCACTACACCAGACAGCCGTCACCGAATCGCTTCCGCTCGTCACTAACCGAGCCGCCTGAAGCCAGAGGACACCACAAACTTGAAAAATGTCTGCGTAGTTATAGTTCTCAATATATTTTCCTGTTGAACTTCAAATACAGATCATTATCTCTCATCGATACTTATCTTTTATTTAAAGATATATTTTTTTTTTATTTCGTTCTAAATAACAAAGTTTGGTGCGTTAATTCGGCGCTGCGATTTCTTTCGGGTGCGGACGATTTGACTGGCGAGGCGTGTGTGTGTGTGTGAAAGTGTTTTAATTGGCCCTTATCAATTTTAATTAGGTTTTCAAGGCTTCGATTCTAAATGAAAAACATGTTAGGATTTTTTTTTTGTTTTCGTTTCGAACCCTCAACCACCCGCTGAGATCCTAAGGGAATTCAATCCACTAAGCCATCCTTCCGTAGCTTAGTCATCACGCTGGTGGTAGAACCTCTTGTGAGGCCGCACGGGTATTTCTGCCGTGTAGCAATAATGCGTTTCGATTTGAAGGGCGGGGCAGCCGATGTAACTATACTGAGACCTTAGAACTTATATCTCAAGGTGGGTGGCGCATTTACGCTGTAGATGTCTCATGGGCTCCAGTAACCACTTAACACCAGGTGGGCTGTGAGCTCGTCCACCCATCTAAGCAATAAAAAATTAATAAATTAGGTTTTCAAGGCTTCGATTCTAAATGAAAAATATGTTAAGATTTTTTTTTTAATTTTTCAGTTCGAATCCTCTCAACTACGTGCTGAGGTCCTGTGGGAATTCAATCCACTAAGCCATCCTTCCGTCGCATATTCATCACACCGTCCAATACTTATAGTAAAATATCTGAAATGCAATTATAATTAACGATAAAGGGGTATGTATGTATGTCTTCGCGATGACGGAAAATCCTTACGTCATCAAACAAAAATCACGGTTGAGTTTATTGGAAATATACTGCGCGGGTAGGTACCACCACCCCGCCTATTTCTGCCGTGAAGCAGCAATGCGTTTCGGTTTGAAGAGTAGGGCAGCCGTTCTAACTATACTGAGACCTAAGAACCCATATCTCAAGGTGAGTGGCGCGTTTACGTTGTAGATGTCTACAGGCTCCAGTAACCACTTAACACCAGATGGGCTGTGAGGTCGTCCACCGATCTAAGGAATAAAAAACAACTCAGTAGCATTAAGTTTCACGATTATCTTACTGGTTCCAATTAGGTAAATCGGAAGAAAACAAAATCTAAATTAATTTGGGTTCTCGACGAAGAGATTTTGACCCGATCTAGTAACGTTTTTCTTGTATCTATGAAAATTATTTGTTAGAGAATGCCTATGGCATTAAGTCCGCCTTTATACTTTCTAGTATATGAAGTTATAAATAAAACTTATGTTGAAAATGTAACTAGCGCGATTCAGATATCCATCTCAAATATCTCCTGTTCTATGTTAGCTACCGTTAAACATTAAAATCATGATTGCGATAAATTAGCTCGTTGAATGCGGAATCCAAAAACAAGTACAGTAATGTAGGATTGGTAATAACGGAACGTATGAAAATAGTCTGGAATAGTGTGTTAAGATGTGAGTGAGGGAAAACAGCTTGACGAGAAAATTAACTCACAGACACAGCCTGCTAAGTTTCTTGTCGGATCATCTCAGTGCGTCGCGTTCCCGATCCGATGGTAGATTCTGCGAAGCACTGCCCTTGTTAGGGCCAGCGTTACTTCCGTTTTGAGACCCGTGAGCTCACACGTTAAGGCGAAGCTGAAATAGCCTCTCAAGGCAAGCACAGGTAGGAAAAAAAAGAAAAAGAGATAACGGTAAGAAAGAGAAAAGAGAATGACAAAACTAGATGCCGAAGACGATTGACGAATGAGTAAGGCGTATAAAGGTATCGGTTATTTAATATTTTAAAAAAGAAGAACAAAAGTGAATGATTTTATTTTATGCGCCACGATTCCAATTCTACGATAATAATGAAAGTGGATGATGATAATAATCTAATGCACAAACTGAACATGCAGCTTTATTATATAGTTACGGAATTATATTAATTAAAAATAGTTTACTCAGAAATTAATTACTAATAAATGCATTTTAGTTTTTTTTTTTGGTTGTATAATCAAGATTATTGCAACGTTGACATTACAGATTACACAAATTTTCAATGGTTTTTCTTAGGGTAATACCAATAAACTAGAGATTAAAATGGTTCCCCGATTCACCTTGGTTTTGAGGTAAGGTTACGTATGGAGACAATAGAGCTTTTCGATAGGACTGGCACTATTTAGTTGTTAGGTAAGTACTTAACTTTAGCTAATCAACTCTTAATATCCTTAATGAGTTAAAATACAAAACTTTGATGACTAAATTAAACTATTTAATATTCTTAAGCACTAAATAAAAGTAATTTTCGGTTACAACAAAATAAAGATTTGTCCCTATTCTACGTCTAGTCCCTATTCCCCCCAATTTACTGTAATTTTTCATTTCTTGAAATAACAAAGCTGTATAGATAGACATCGTGGCCGCAATCCAATGCGATGGTCCGACCAAATCCGCACCAATCTGGATACCAAAGTCTACGATGCCCTAAACACTGCCGCGAACAGAGGAAGATGACGAAACATCATCCAGAGAAGGATAATGGGAAGAAGTCACGACCCTCAGACATGAGGAATGCGACTCAGGGAGGAAGAGAGGATAGACCAGTGGCTCTCAATCGACGCGGCGTAGCAGACTGGTGCTTCTCAAACCCTTTTGTGAAGTGTGTGTGTCGCGAGAATTATAAACACGATATTTTCATTTAAATGAAATAATTCCCCCGGGTCACCTTAAGGTGACCCGGGGGAATTATGACCATAACAAATAATTGGAACTAATTAAAAACATGTTATTAATATTATCTTTTTAAATCAGTCAATTGACATTTGGTAAAAAATTGTTTAGGTAAGAAAAAAACAAAATTTTAATAATACAGAAAAATGTTGTTATAATTTAATAGTTTAATTAATTAAAATTAACAATAATCTATATATTAATACGTGAAGCA